ATCACTGATTAACGTTGATTCCCAAAAAAAAAGTGGGTTGATGTCAGGCAGGCGGCCGGTCGTAAAAACAAATAGCCAAAAACATTTCACAACATGTAAGGCAGACCCTGGCTATAGCTGGGAAATTGCCAGGTAGAAGAAGAAGAAGATATATATATGTTTCCAGATAACATATAAAATAATAGTTCTAGCATACATATATTGTGAAAGACGCCGTAAATAGGATTTCAATAATTCAATTCTTTGTTGTCATGACATATATATACGAATTATATATCTGTTTGTACATTTACATAATTCTTAAATAACCGATTGGATATAAATAAAGATGTTTACGAAAATATGTTCTAATAATACGTCTTGAACTTAATACGTGTTTCAAACGTTGAACTTTCAGTTTGCAGTCGATAGTTTATGATTCATGAATACTTCTTCTTATACCTGGCAATTTCCCAGCTTAAGCCAGGGTCTGCCTTACATGTTGTAAATAGTTTTGACTAATTGTTTTTACGACCGGCCGCCTGACTGACATCAACGCTCTTTGGGAATGCATTAATCAGTGATGTCTAAATACTCTCATAAAGTACATATGACTGGGAAAAATCACATTGGTACTTGCCAGGATCGAACCCGCGCCCTCGTGCATGAGAGGCGGGCCTTTTAACCACTATCATTTATGAATACTGTCGTGTGAAATGAATTGTGATTTTACTTTTAACTCTATAGTTAAACGATGCCTACACTTAGTAACTTTTGTAAGAAAAACAATGTACTCCCGACGTTATTAAAAATAAAGTCGAGTAGTATAATAAGAAAAATATTAGTTTCATTTAAATAAATAAAACTCGCGAAAATCCTAGATCTCATTACGTAGTAACTGTAGTTGTATTTATTCAAGACTTCTAGAAAATTCAGATTATAATTTTTCGTTTCGTTTCCATTATATAATAACTAGCTTTCCGCCCGCAGCTTCATCCGCGTGGAGTTCGGTTATATCGCGTTTCCAAGAGAACCTTTCAAAAGTCTGTAATAAAAACTATTCTATGTTCTTTCTCCAGGTCAACTCTATCTCTGTACCAAATTTCATTAAAATCACATCAGTGGTTCAGGCGTGAAAGCGTAACAGACAGACAGAGTTACTTTCGCATTTATAATATTAGTAGGGATGTCTATTTTCATATAATAAATTTATTATATTCAAACAATTTCAACATAGTATGATAAATTCATGTTTTTCTCAATAAGTCGTTGGTTTTCGTTTAAGTTGTGTTTCAAATAACTTCACTTTTATTATGAGAATTCAGTCAGGAGTTATAATCGCAACAGACAGACAGTTATCGAATATGTATATAAAATATTAATTCCTTGAACTAGGTAAAAAACAACCAATTATTATGAGTACTTAGCAAATCTAACAGCATGTTTAAACTTATATTTAAATTTGAAACGAAATTTGAACTTGTACTACATACTGTAAGTACGTAGTTTCGACAATAAAATCCGTAGTAAGTTCCCTGATTGCAGTATTCTGAAAATGTTGTCCCTACTAATATTATAAATGCGAAAGTAAGTCTGTCTGTCTGTTACGCTTTTACGCCTACACCACTGAACTGATTTTAATGAAATTTGGTACAGAGATAGAGTTGACCTTGAGAAAGAACATAGGATAGTTTTTATCCCAGACTTTTGAAAGGTTCTCTTGGACACGCGATATAACAGAAATCCACGCGGGGGAAGCTGCGGACGGAAAGCTATTAGTTTCTATATGTGAATCTTAAATCCGTCCTATCGTTTACCGTGGGCTTGACATCCTGTAAAACAAACTAGATCCTACGCATTCATATTGTCTCAATTTGTAAATTATACTACATATATCTATACTATACTAGGTGAAAAAGATTTGATAATAATCTATACAGGGTGACTGGTGAATTACTATCAATATTTAAGGAGCATACTCGGTACATGATTCTCATTCGAATTATGTAAAAAAATAGGTACTTAATTTTTGACCAAATTTCCGTATAAATAGGGGAGAGTCGGATATATCGTACCACTTTTCACTTTAACTCAAATATTTCGACTATAACACGTCTTATAATAATTAATACATATGTAAAATAAAGTTTCATATTTTAGCTTCCTAAGAAGAAGAGAACAGATCCTTGCGATTATTCTAACATTGTTAAAAATGCTTTTTTGTAGAGGCTTGCCATCGGTACGATTTAGCCGACTCGTCGTTTTAATCGTACCACTAAGTCTTTAAATCGTACCATGGGTGTTTAAGTCGTACCACTGAATGAAAGACATTAAAATTCTCAATCAAATTATTTATTTTTGACTGTTAGGTAAGTAATAAAACAACATTATTTATATCTTTTAGGTAATAGAAACATAATTTTTAACTCTTAGGTTATATAAAGGAACTATAAGCTTTCTCAGTAAAATAACATGATTATACTATGATAATGAGGTCAATCAACATAACCAATAAAAATGAGACAAATAAAAAAACAGTAAACTATAATAATAAAGTAATAGTTAACAAGAATGTTATTTGTAATATAATTATTGTGCATATTTCTTAATGGAAACAATCATGACAAATGTTTTCAAAAATTCGAAGTACACGTCCCATTTTGGACCCTTCTTATCCTAGTAAAAACAATTGCACTTTCGACATAATTATATTTTCAAGATAATCATCGCTGTCATTATCATCATCTAGTTCTACAACAAGTGTCTCTCCTGAATCATCGCTACTGGTGATGGAATGAGATCGTTTCCTCTTATAACTTTTGTTTTTGGCCTTGGGTAGTACTTACTCTAGGTACTTGCGGTAGTACTATAGGTACTTGCGGTTGGTAGTCGGGTAAATCGTACCAGTACAATTTAACCAACTGCAAGTGGTACGATTAAACCAACTAAGGCATTTCTAAAACAAAAGCAAATATCCGGCATAAACTCAAAACTTAGACACGCAACAAAAACCCCCAATAATCTAGTATACAATTGTGGAATAATAAAAAAAACTGAATAAATATAGCTTACCTTGATTACGAGTTATCTCCTTACGAATGTACGACAATATTTATATTAATTCCTACAAAAAATGTTTTTTTTATTACGTGCTCAGTTGTTAACTCACGTCGACTTAAACTAGTGGGTGAAGAGGGATGGTACAGGGCCACGATTTGGCGTTGTCAATGTAAAAAAAAATATTCATTAAATGGGAAATTTAGAGGTGGTACGATTTAAATGCTAGTACGATATAACCAACTCTCCCCTAAATAAAGTGTTGACACGTTCCAAGTGTTCCAAGTGTGGACGCGTGCGGCGGCGTGCTGATACAACACTACGCCGCCGCACGCGTGTGTGTGTGTGAGTCTATACCTGATCTGTAGGGTGTGCAAACGATGCGTAATTAATTACATAACTTTTGGTTAACTTTACTTAGAAGTTTATTAATATTTATGTTATATTAATTTTTATTTTGTCATATATGATCGTCAAATATCACGTCCTCAAGTATCGATATTAATTCACCAGTCACCCTGAATATGAGATTAAATTCTTAAACTCCTTGCATCTTCCTGGCTGTAAAAGAAGAATAAGTCATAGGTTATGTTACTGTCAAACGTATATGTAATAATTGTATGAAAGAAAATATATTATGTGATAATAAAAACTTTGTTATGGCAAGAGGATAGTGCTGTACTGATTTTGATGTGGTTCCAAAGAAATCTATCATCTGTGTACATTGAATTATCGGACGGTATAAGGTATTTGGCTTATCTGATTTGGCTTGGCTTGGCTAGATTAAGATTGGTATACCATCTTAAATGATGGTTTTAAAATCAAATGTATATATAAATAGATTTATTTCATTTGCTTGTTCGTAATAATGTTTTTTTTAAGTGGAACACGACCTATATTTTGGTATGCCCATGTATTCTTTGGCTGAAGCATTTCTAATGAGATTTTCACTGTTTTATAGGCAGGGCAGATGATATAACATGTAATAGCATTTTGATATATTTGGGAAATTCACAAAAACATCAAAATAAGGTCAAAGTTTCGTTAAATAACTGGCCTATTTTAAGTTATTCATTACACATATATATAACAAAGCCACTAATTAGTATGAGTAGACAATATATGTATATATTGTTACTGCCTTTTAGCCGTATATAATTCTTAACATATTCTAGCCATCGACTATGTATATATATATATATATATATATATATATATATATATATATATATATATATATATATATATATATATATATATATATGTTACGTACAAATTATTATCATTGCTATGTCTTTTAATATGGATAGATAACTGGAAAGATTTAAAGATAAATCAAATATTCATATAGCTAAATATGTATATGAAAACTACTAAGAATTATCCCTACTAATATTATAAATGAGAAAGTAACTCTGTCTGTCTGTTTGTTACGCTTTCACGGCTAAACCACTGAACTGATTTTAATGAAATTTGGTACAGAGATAGAATTGACTTTGAGAAAGAACATAGGATAGTTTTTTATCCCAGACTTTTGAAAGGTTCTCTTGGAAACGCGATATAACCGAACTACACGCGGGCGAAGCTGCGGGCGGAAAGCTAGCATTATATAAATTAAGATTATCTATCCTATATATACGATTATTACAAATGAGAACTAAAAATATTAAAAGCAATACGTTTGGTACTTTTTTATTATATTTACATAATAATTAACATCTAATCTAGAATTTACATTGTTTCTTAGTCAAAACAAGTCCAAGCTCATGACAGTCTCATTTTATAGTCATAAAACAACTATGCTCACGACAATGCACTAACTACCCTCCTTTGTTGCAGATGAAGCAGCCATGTTGAATAATAATGAAATAATTTGAATTAAAATAATATACGCACATGAGTTTTAAGAGCCTAATAAAATATATATATGAATATAAAATAAATTGTTATCACGAAAATAGAAAATGGCGTCCTGCCTCGGTGGCCATTTCGGTTTGAGTCAAGATTATATACCGGTTGCCGATTTTTATGCTGATAAATCGATTTTTGTGACCGGTGGTACCGGTTTTATGGGAAAGGTGAGTTGGGTGATGATAAGTTTGAGCCTAATTAAACTAATATTTTCGGATAAACTATGCGTATTTTGTTAAACTGCACATTCCCGATGTTTTTGCAGAAACCGTGATTACGAAAATAAAATGTAAACCGAAAATATTAGTTTCATTTAAATGAATACTTGATAATATATTTCTTCTTCTTCCTGGCAATTTCCCAGCTTTAGCCAGGGTCGGTCACTTGATAGTATATATCATTTGTGTATTGCCTGTTACAGGTTTTGGTTGAAAAGCTATTGCGGAGTTGTCCAAAAATCAAGAAAATCTATCTTCTTATGAGGCCGAAGCGAGGTCAAGATGTAGCATCTCGTCTGACAGAACTAACACAGTCGCCGGTGAGTAGAGAAGAATTATAAGAAGAATTATAAGCAGACTGACAGAAGAATTATTGATAGGAAATAAATTTCTTCTATACTAAGATATATGTACAGAGAGAACTCATATTATTAATCCTATAGAAAAGTTTAAATATTAATAACTTCGTTTAATATATAACCTTGAGATTATTGCCAAAAAACTGTCAAATTTTTTTTGCCACAGCTGACTATGTCTAAGAAAATCGTCAAACATACAAATCCCTACTAATATTATAAATGCGAAAGTAACTCTGTCTGTCTGTCTGTTACGCTTTCACGCCTAAACCACTGAACTGATTTTAATGAAATTTGATACAGAGATAGAGCTGACCTTGAGAAAGAACATAGAATAGTTTTTATCTCAGACTTTTGAAAGGTTCTCTTTGAAACGCGTTATAACCGAACTCCACGCGGGCGGAGTTGCGGGCGGAAATCTAGCATTTTATTTTTCATGCTACGCGAATTTCTTTATGCAGTATATGTAAAAAATAGGTACTCAAAGTACAATCGATTCGAAGGTTCGCGTCATTAATGTTGACCCGACACACGCGATGACAAAAAAACTACCACTTAATATACAAAATAATCAAAGAATATACGATATGGTACACGATTGACGCAATACCTACAGTTAAAACGTTTCAAGAATGGTACTTTACGTGAATTAAAAGGACTTCAATTGTATAGGAAAATTTAAATATTCTTACCACGAGTTTTCGCAGTTAACTATGAAACAGACAGTTTGTAGTATCCATTCGCAAATAGAATTAATGAGAGTTCAAAAAACCATCAATACAACATGATTACCACAAGTTCGCATTATCACTACATACGTAGAGTTAACAGAATTTCGTTTATAAATCTCATCACACTATAATCTTCTTCTTCCTGGCAATTTCCCAGCTTTAGCCAGGGTCTGCCTTACATGTTGTGAATAGTTTTGGCTAATTGTTTTACGACCGGCCTGACATCAACCCTTTTTGGAAATGTTATCACACTATAGAATTATCTTAAAAAGCTTCTTATTGTACTCTATCATTAGGTATTATTCAATTTATCATTCTGATACAAGTGTGTTAAATTATAATTATTACATGATTGATAAATATCACATGATTAATTATTGGCATTTAATTATGATTAATTATTTTGATTATATATATAAACTAGAAGACCCGGCGAACTTAGTATCGCCCTATAATCAAGAAATATCTGTTACGTTTTTTTATTCATATTTTTGGAGTTTACCTATTAAAGCCATAAATGTACTTGTTTTGAAGTGCGACAGAATGATTGACATATCAGTTACTTGTCAAATCTAATGTCAAAAAAAAAACTATTGTATGAACAAGTACTAATAAATTAAAAATTAATTAAAAAACATTGTCCAGCGGACAAAATTGTGAATCTAAACCGTTCCCAGATCCCCTTGAACACACACAAAAATATTCATCAAAATCGGTCCAGTCGTTTGAGAGAAGTTCAGTGACATACACACTCACAGAAGAATTATATATATATAAAGATATATATTTTTTTTAGAACATAAAAAATATATACTTTTTTTGTCTACAGTTGTTTGAATCGTTAAGAAAAGAAAGACCTCAAGAATTAAATAAGATAGTACCTATAGTAGGGGACATAACGGAGCCTGAATTGGGGATCAGTCCCGCTGACCAGGAGATGCTGTGCCAAAAGGTGAGTTACACACACACACATAGCGCAATAGCTCAGTTTCCAAAGTGGTTATAATACATCATTACAATGGTTGTAGGTTTGATCCACCTCATGTAAATATATGTTTCACTGTATTATATATATACAGGGTGACTGGTGAATTACTATCAATACTTGAGGACGTGATATTTGACGATCATATATGACAAAATAAAAATTAATATAACATAAATATTAATAAACTTCTAAGTAAAGTTAACCAAAAGTTATGTAATTAATTACGCATCGTATGAACACCCTACCTAGATTAGGTATACACACACACACACACACGCGTGCGGCGGCGTGGTGTTGTATCAGCACGCCGCCGCACGCGTCCACACTTGGAACACTTGGAACGTGTCCACACTTTATTTATTTATACGGAAATTTGGTCAAAAATTAAGTACCTATTTTTTACATAATTCGAATGAGAATCATGTACCGAGTATTCTCCTTAAATATTGATAGTAATTCACCAGTCACCTGTATATACATATGTATATGTTTTTTGTTCAATACTAAATTTTTTATCACATTGTTATCTATTTAGCCTGTCTTTAATATGTCATGAGGGAATAATTTTATAGTCAATTAAGTTGAAAGTATGTAATAAATTTTTCATATAACAATTTATCATTAGTTACATATAGTATATGTAAATTTATTAATAATAAAATAACTTCATACTGCCTTTATTTATTGTATAAAAATTTAAATTCAATATGACCATTAATATTTATTTATCAAGTTTTTTCTTTGTATATTTCAATATATAATAATTATTTTATAAATATTATTGATGTATGTACTATATGTCTCTCATATAGAAAAATATATCTAAAGCTATTTTTAAAGTTAAAGTTTTAACTATTGTTACATAGTTTACTGATTCGAGTTAAATCAAAGGTATTATAAAAAAAAATATTAAAAAACTCTGTCAGAGACAACAAAACCAGATAAATTTCATAAACAAATTTTTTTTATAACATTTATGTAAATTTTAAGAAAATTTATGGACATAGTATTAAATCATTCAATATTTATCATTTAGTGTCACATTTGATCCAAATATTAAAAAAAATTAGGGGTGAACAACTCTTATTACTAAGGGGTATGAAAAATAGATCGCCGATTCTCAGAGCTACTCAATATGCTCAGAAAATTTCATGACAATCGGTCAAATTTCGGAGGTATACGGAAATGAATATTGTGACATGGAAATTATATACAATAGAGAAATATCTGTTACGTTTTTTATGTACATTTTTAGAGTTTACCTATTAAATATTAGTTAGTTGTCAAATCTAATGTCAAAAAAAACCGTTTGTATCAACAACGACTAATAAATTAAAAAAACATTGTCCAGCGTACAAAATTGTGAATCTAAACCATTCCTCGATCCCCTTGAACACACAAAAAATTTCAACAAAATCGGTCCAGTCGTTTGAGAGAAGTCCAGTGACACACACTCACAGAAGAATTATATATATAAAGATAATATATTATACATCTGGATTTTGTTCTGGAATGATCCACAAGTCTTTGTATTTCCAGGTGTCCGTGGTATTTCATTCAGCTGCTACAGTCAAATTCGATGAGAAGTTGAAGCTATCTGTAACTATCAATATGTTGGGGACGCAACAATTGGTGCAACTTTGTCATCGTATGATGGGATTGGAGGTAACTAATATATATACTAGCTGCGCCCCGCGGTGTTACCCGCGGATTTCCGGGACGTAATGTAGCCTATGTGCTATTCCTGGACGTCAGCTTCCCGTATACAAAATTTTATCAAAATCGGTTCAGCCGTTTGAGCGTGAAGAAGTAACAAACATACACACACACTCACAAACTTTCGCAATTATAATATTGGTAAGTTTTAGACACCACTGACAGATGAAGGAAAAAATCGTGAGGAAACCTGGAGTTTAATAAATTATATGTTTGAAATCACCAACCCGTCTTGAGCAAGCGTAATGATTAATGCTCTAACCTTCTCCATGTGAGAAGAGGCCTTTCAGCAGTGGGCTCTGATAGGATGATGATGATTTATATTGTATCAAGACTAACTATTATTTAACATCAATAAGTAATATGCTTTAATAAATTGTTAGTGTTTTAAAATATAAGAATACCTTCCTAGCGACTACTAACTACTAAGTTTCTTAACAAGTACCAAACAGGATAGTTATCATGAAAATGGAATATATATTCAAATAAATAATATATTAAAAATCAATATTTATATATGTATGTAAATATATTTAAAACATGCTTGAGTTTTAAATACACAAGACTTGTACACAATCAACATAGTCCATACATTTATATGCAATATTCTCTTGTATGCATTAACATAGATTTAAATATCAAAAAGACTCCTTAAAAGGTCCTTTTTGCTATGTGGATATGTTGTAAAGAAAAAGCGGTGTAAATTTGTATGTTTGTTCCACTCTGTATCATGATGGCTAAACTGATTTTGACGAAACTCTATTAGTTTAGTTACCTACACTAGAGCAGCATTGTATTTTTTAACTGTATAATAAAATTATGACTTAATAAGTAATGATTGATTGATAAAATAATAAATAATAATTTATTGATTAAAAATTATATATACAATTCCTATTATTGGTATATTCTAAAATGTATGTATAGACAAAAATAATTAAACAAAATGCTACTATATATATATACATATATTTAGTAAGAATATTTTTCTTGAATTTTTTACAAATTATTTTATTTGTATATCTGATAGACGTTACTTTTTTTAATTAATTACGGTATAAAAAATAGTTTTACATTTTAATAGTTATTTAATGTTTATCATATATACATATACTAGAAGACCCGGCGAACTTCGTATCGCCCTATAATCAAGAAATATCTGTTACTTTTTTTAATTTATATTTTTGGAGTTTACCTATTAAAGCCATAAATTTCCGTGTTTTGAAGTGTGACAGAATGATTGACATTAGTTAGTTGTCAAATCTAATGTCAAAAAACGTTTGTATAAACAATTACTAATAAATTAAAAATTAATTAAATAAACATTGTCCAGCGGACAGAATTGTGAATCTAAACCATTCCCAGAATCCTTGAACATACACAAAAAATTTCGTCCAGTCGTTTTAAAGAAGTTGAGTGACATACACACTCACAGAAGAATTATATATATAAAGATATTTAGATAGATATTTCTCTGTCTTTAGGCCTTAGTACACGTTTCGACGGCTTACTGTAACTGCGAACGTGAACGTGTAGAAGAAACTGTTTACTCACCTCCAGCACATCCTGAACATGTGGTAACTTTGGTTCAGACACTCAACGATGATCTGGTTGATAGGATCACGCCTGACTTAGTCGGTAAGTCTGTGGGGCCCCGGCATCTAGTCTGAAGGGCACTATAACTATTCTTAGGTTTAAAGAAGTTTATTTACAATAGAACAAAGTTCGCTTACAAATGAAATTAAAATTATAACTGCAATTAAGATTACAAATAATAAACAGTAGTGGTATTAAGCAAGATCAGTGAAATCATCTAATGTATGGGTTCTTAATCGTTTTTTTAAATATATTTAGAGATTTTGAATTTACAACACTTTAAGGCAAAGAGTTATACAGCTCTTGTAATAAATATCTCCATATATCTAATACATTGATTTAATTGTGATTAATTTGTTGTTAAACTTGAAATTGTATGTATTTATTGTGATTATTTAAACTCATATTAAGCATATAATTAATATAATATGTTTATATGTAATTCCAGGTGACAGACCCAATACATACACATTCACTAAGGCTCTTGCCGAGGACATGTTGATAAAGGAGTGTGGGAACCTGCCCGTTGCCATCGTTAGACCATCTATAGGTTAGTTATATATATATATATATATATATATATATATATATATATTCACCAGTCACCCTGTATATATATATGTGTGTATATGTATATTGATGTCTCCTATGTATAAGGGCCAATGTGCAAATGACAATTGTTCAGTAGAGACGTTGTAAGTTTGATGTCAATGTATCTTGCACATACAACTGAAGCTTTTTATACTTTGTGTACCAACTATGACATACATGTACGACATTTAAGATTGATAAACTTTTCTATAAACCTAATAGGTTTTTATATAATGTATATAAGCCCTTATACATTAAAAAGTGTTACAGATGCTTTTAACTGCAATAAAAACTAAATCTTTCCATCAAATCAAATACACATTTTTTAAATGGATGTTGTAGAATACAGTATTATGTAGCGTTTAAAGCAAAAAAATGTTAATTGTTGCTACATTAGCCCTATACATAGGATCCATTGAAATATTACTATCTTCCTATCTTGTGTATCAATTTGTAATATTCTATACACGTGTCACGAATAGCCCGGTTTTGATAAGATTAAATAATATTTTTAAGTATTTTAAAGATAAAATTATAATCTATTTCATAAGAGGATAATTTCTGTAATAAAATCAGTAAGGTACGCTATATATACTAGGTTATCAATAAATATTTATAGTTCATAGCTTATGTATATAGTTAAATTACTAATAACTATTGTCAGAATAAATATTGAAATGAATATTTACAGATGCATTGTAAATAATATGGTATTTATTTTGAATTACATATTGACATATCTGAATTAATATTTATTAAGTATACATATGAATATTGCATCATATATAGGTATATAATATTTACAAAGTATGTTGTCATAATGTATTTATATAAGTGTATATAAATATTAGAAGATCTATTTATATTTGTTTTCAATAGAAATTAAATATATTTAAATATTATTTTATATATTTCCAGTATTATCTTCCGTCCGTGAACCAGTTAAGGGTTGGGTAGATAATTGGAATGGACCCAATGGAATTATAGCGGCGGTTGGCAAGGGAGTGTTCCGTACAATGCTTGGAAACGGCACGAGGGTAGCGGATTTGGTGCCGGTTGATACAGTCATCAATTTAATGATTGTATGCGCTTGGAGGACCCATCTCAGAAGGTAGGGCCTAAATTTGGACGATTTCAGTACGTTTTATAAGTAAAAATGAATATTATATAGAGTTTGACCTTTGAACTTTGGACATATATTTGTCTGCGAGGTCAAACATGTTGGATACTAATGTACAGTGATAAGTTTCCGCTTGACAAAAACTTTTGGTTGGTAATTATGGGTTCAAGTCTACCTTTATATGTTACCATTGCTATGTATGGAAAGTTTTTTATAAATTACTAGCTGCGCCCCGCGGTGTTACCCGCGGATTTCCGGGGTGTAAAGTAGCCTATGTGTTATTCCTGGACGTCAGCTTCCTGTATGCAAAATTTTATCAAAATCGATTCAGCCGTTTGAGCGTGAAGGAGTAAAAACATACACACACTCACAAACTTTTGCAATTATAATATTAGTAGGATTTATATAATTCTAATGTATGTTTGTTTATTATTCAATATAATTAAAACAACCATAGTATAGGTTTTATAATTATTTTTGCTTTTTTTATTTGTCAGAAAGTTAACTATGGTATAATTTTGTTTTTTACAGAGGTGATGGCGTTATTGTGTACAACTGTTGCACGGGTCAACAAAATCCTATAACTTGGCAACGATTTGTTAAGACGAGTTTTAAATATATGAGAAAACATCCATTTAGTGAGTATAAGTGATTAACTAGTATTCGCACGCGACTTTATCCGCTTTAATATCCATACGGATTAGTTATATGTATATCTAACCGGGCGAACTCTATTCCTTATAGGCAATAGATTAGAAGATTTTGGATTTGATAAACTTGTTTTTTTTAAATCGGATGATAAGTATTATGTCCTTTCTATGTTCTAATCTATCTCTCCACTAATTTTTATCCATATCCGTACAGCCGTTCTTGAGTTATAAATAGTGTAACTAACATGACTTTCTTATATATACATTGTTGAGATAGTACGAAGTTCTTGAGTAGTGTCACCCGGCATGTAATATGTAAAAACGATTATTCAGTTCAGTTGTCAACACGCGTTTCTGAATATCATTATAATATGTTTGTGTGGTTTAAATATAATTATATTCGCGTAAATATCGCCTCATCATCAGCCTATCAGAGCCCACTCCTGAGCAAAGACCTCTTCTCACATGGAGAAGGTTTGAGCATTAATCACCACGCTTGCTTAACGGGTTGGTAATTTCAAACGTATAATTTGATATAAGTCCATGTTTCCTCACGATGTTTTCCTTCATCAGTCAGTGATGTCTAAATACTCTTAAAGTAAATATGACTCGGAACAACCACATTGGTACTTGCCAGGATCGAACCCGCGCCCTGTGCACGAGAGGCGGCCCCTTAAATATCGCCTGTTTATTCATAATCCTATATAAATATTTTCAGGTGAAGTAGTATGGTATCCTGGTGGTGATATAACAAGCAGTCGTTTGAAGCACGGAGTCCTCTCGCTGTTACAACACAGACTACCCGCAGTCATTATAGACCTGGTGGCTAGAATAACTGGCAGCAAGCCTCTGTGAGTATATATCTATACTAATATTATAAAGCTGAAGAGTTTGTTTGTTTGTTTGAAAGCGCTAATCTCCGAAACTATTGGTTGAATTGAATAATTCTTTTTGTATTGGATAGTCCAGTTATCGAGGAAGGCTGTGGGCTATATAACATCACGCTACGACCAATAGGAGCAAAGATATAGTGGTAAATGTGTAAAAAACGGGAGAAATTATATGAATTAAAGAATAATAGCTCTTTTAATGATCTAAAAAACAGTCCGCGACAGTATATGTCTATCTTTTAAGATTAACTCACAAAAACCGTTTTTATGGTACCTAATTTGATCGAAATAATTTGTTTAAGTTGTATCAACATAATAATATTAATCTTTATTCAAATAAACAAATAAATATGTTGTTGTAATTATAATTAATGTAATTAAGAAACAACCATAATCATATAACGTTAATAAATTGATTGCGGCTACTCTGAAAACATTGAAAGCAAGAACTAATAGTATTTGTGGTTTATTTTTTCTAATTATCCTAAATATATATTACAGAATGGTAAGAGTTCAAAATAAATTGGAAAAAGCATCGGCATGCCTCGAGTACTTTACAACAAGACAATGGGCATTCGCTGACAATAATGTTCAAGAATTATGTAGAAGTTTGTCTCCCGAGGACAGAGATACATTTGACTTTGATGTGACCAATATTAATTGGGACGGCTATATTGAGTCTTACGTGTTGGGAATAAGGAGGTTTCTGTTCAAGGAGAGTCCCAATACATTGCCTAAATCCAGGACGATAATGCGAAGGTATGTAACACACATACATACATACACACAATAAGAAAATCAATGATATCAGCTATATTTGAACTTACAACCTCTTGTATAGCGTTCATGCAAGTGTTGAAAGTAGAGCATTATGATATAAACATTCTAAAGCTAGCAATAATAAAATTCTGGATTTCAGTTTATTAATTTTAAAATAGTACATGTATATACATTATATAAATGTATATCTTTCGTGGCGAAATCTGTTTTTAAAAGACAGTAAAAAAGATGATTTTGAATTTGATATATTTTTTTCTATCGGATGAAAAGTTACCGATTTCCATTTCATGGTTCAAAGCTAACTCCGACAATCTTCATCCAAACCCGTACAGCCGTTGAGTTATAAATAGTGTAAACACGACTTTATTTTATATATAATGGTTTGATTAGTTAGAGAGATTAGCTTGGATAGTTTAGGTGAGCGTTTAAGATAGATAGGGTACCTTAAACCTACACCTGGGTCACAAGTCACAGGCACTGTTGAAGCTCCTCTCGCTACAATGATGGACCCGACACACGCATATGAATACATTGAATGATGAGAGGTTTCGTCTCTCTATATATATTAAACCTACACCTGGGTCACAAGTCCTAGTCACTGTTGAAGCTCCTCTCACTACAACGATGGACATTAAATATATTGAATCATAATATATATTATTATTATTATTATTATTTCCAGGTTACATATAGTCCACATTATAAGTCAAGTGCTAGCCGTATTCTTTCTATGGCGATTCCTGTTCCTTCGTTCAACTACCTTGAGGCAGTTTTGGCGCTACATCATAGATATATTGACTCGGGCTGCAAGGATGCTGGCCATCGCCTGATGAAAAACCCGCAAACTTCACACTTGACGTTTGACATTGACGGGCCCCACAGACCCGGCCGCCGTGCGTTATGATGTAATAATAACGGCGGCCTAGTCTGCAGGGGTTATGTTATTCTATCAGTATAATGCTTAGATAAGTCGCTTGTGAGTTGCGATGTTTGTTTATTATTTGTTTTTCCCGGATCGATATAGCTGTTTAGTGTGGATTAGTTTTGACATTGTTACAGCTCAATACGATTGTTAAGGTTAAATAAATAATTAATAATAATAATGATAATAATAATGATGATATTATCAATCGTAACTAAAACTCCACAGATTATATATAATTCAAGGATATTGTTGACTATTCCAATATTGTCTGTGGTTCAAAACACAAATGTTTCTGCCAATTGAATAGTTTTTAAGTTGCCCGCGCTTCTATTATATAGCTGTCAAATGATCGATAGTACATTATATTTCCGGCAGCCGCGTCTATGGGACCCGGCTGCCTATATAACACAACGGCCTCGCTTCACAGATTAAATGGATACATTATTATTGTTTTCATATAGTAATAAAATTAGTGAAGTGATAATTAATCGAAGCGTTGAAAATTGTACCGGTGCATAGTTGTGTGTGTTTTTATAATGATTAGAAATGAGATCGCTCAAAATTTTTTAGCTGTTAATATGTCCAGATGAGTAATTGTTTTAAATTATATTATATATACATATATAAAAAAAAACTTTACAACGACACCGTGATCTAAAAACGTGACAAATCACTGGAATGTATGTTTCTTTTATTTAAATAAAATTAAAATTTAAAAGTAGAAAAATAATGCTCGCGGATAAAAACAGCTAATTTAGTGTATAAAATAAAAAATAACATAGTATTAATGACACCAAAAAAATTGTTTTTTCCATCAAAACGCTTCCTTAGTAATAATTACAATAAGATATTTATTTTTTAAAACATCGGTTGCACTTTATATTAATGCTAGGGATTTTACCGGTTTTTTTTCCCATAATTTACGGTTATTTTGTATCTATATGTAGTTTTAGATTTTTCATTCCATTTCAAAAAAACAGCTTTAGGTGTTAATTGTGTGATTAATATGAGATTTAGTCTTCCCTATGTTAATTTAATTTTAATTATATTTATTTGTATGATGAAAAATAATAATATACTAGTGGAATATTTGACATTGAATAAAAAAATCTCTTTGGGATACCTTGTAAGTTATCGCTTAAGTGTTGCCTAAGCTTTTTTTTGTTAGCATTTTTCTTAATATTTAAGCCTACTCATCTATCTATGGTATATTCAGTTTACACAAAACTTTTGCTGCCAATAATTTATATTTTAAAAAACATATTGTCTACGGTTGCATTGTGTCTAAATTGTGAATCTATTCCTAGTTGTTTTGCAATTAATTTTAAGTTTCCATCTATGATCCATTCAATATTGTTTGTAAATTTGTTTCTTTGTATGTAAAAGTAATTTTTCTGTTCATTATATATATATATTGTCGCTTGTAAGTATGTCTGTATGTATATTTTTCAGATTGCCGCCATTTTTTTTTGTCCTGTGTGTAAATTTCGCGACGTGGGTTTGTTTTATTTGTTACATAATGTTCGTTTCTGTATATAGTTTAGTTGTTATTAATGGACGCTGTTATTATTACGTGTATGTAGCTGTTTTTCTTACTTGGTGTGGCGCCATCTGGTTGTCTAGTTTGATTCAATCACGATGAGTTTTATGTAGATGGCGCTGTCACCGGGAGTGGGGCGCTTTGAATTGATTTCGCTTAGACGCCATATTATGGTTATGGTTAATAAAAAAATCCGTAAAATCTTGGTGGAATGTTAATATTTGTATATGTGCTCAACGGCTGAGTCTCGGTCTAGTCAGTCTAACAGTTAAAGTTAACTGCGCAGTTAATTAAACCATTAATATGATATTCATTGTGTGTTTAAATTATTCCGCTGTTTATATTTATTGTAATTTTATGTTACCAGCCGCGTAAGTTTTATATTGTAATAGTGTTGTACCGATGTATCCAGACTGAGTCTAGACTGGCTAGACCTAGACTGGGATAGATAAGTCTCGATGATAGTATGGTATTATACATGGGGAGTTAATTTATTATTCCAATATATATTAAAAATAAAAGAATGTAAAGTTTTTTGGTCTTTTTTTATTATTCCCATTTGTATTTGTGTTTAAATGTTATGTGATTTAAGATTTTGCATATTTTAAATGTATAAATTTGTGTGAAAGTGCAGAGGTCAAGTTAATGAAAATCTTTAATACAATATAAGTTAAAAACTAATCTGTGATGACCCCTCCAGTCGCCAGTTCCTCTTTAGATGGAAGATTATCATAATCGTGCTCTTTGTATCTGAAATTATATTAAAAAGAAAATTATATTACAATAATAAAAACTAACTACATTATGGCCGTCCATCTTAAAAGAAAATACTGAATTGTTAAAATATATATTGTTAAATAATTAATAAACTAGCAACACTCAAGCCTATATAAAATGCGCTATTACTGACAATCTGGCACTTTGTTCTCAATGATAGTCAAAAATAGAAGCTATCCTACTAATATTACAATTGCGATAGTTTGTGACTGTGTGTATGTTTGTTACTTCTTCACGCTCAAACGGCTGAACCTATTTTGGTAATATTTTGTATACAGGGAGCTGACGTCCAGGAATGAGATATAGGCTACTTTACATCGAGGAAATCCGCGGGGCGCAGCTAGTATATATATATTCCATTAACTCACTTCTCCAGCGGCGGGCAAAGAAAGTGTCTAATGTTCCTAGGCATCACCATATCAGCCTGCACCTTACACACATCGAGCAAGTAATACTCGAGCTCGTGTACAATATCTTCATCTACAGTTGGACCTATACCTGGTACAGCGTGAACCACTGTCACCTGGAAAAAGCAGGTTTTTAGGTTGTGGGGTCAAAGGTCGTAGATCAAATCTGGAAAAACATTCTTATAATACTTCTAGAACTAATTGAAATGAATTACAGTAGAACTCCAATTATCCGAACTCCAACTATCCGAATCGCCGATTATCCGAATCACTTTCAGAAAAAAAATTGTCCAAAAAAGGTTTAATTCTTCCCCCCGCGAAAGCAGTGTTTGCGCGTTCGCTCACTATTGTCCTTCCCACCGCGAAGTCAGTGTAGGCACAACGGCAAGACGTGAAGACCGCAAAACAGCTTACATTGACGAAGATGTTTAAAACATGTGAAAATATCATGTTTCTTTCATTTAATTCAATAAAAAAATAGCGCGATATCAAAACGTAACTTTTTTCTCTCCCATGGCAATTAAAAAAAACTCCGATTATCCGAATATTTGATTATCCGAATGGGTCCTGGTCCCCATTAATTCGGATAATTGGAGTTCTACTGCATATATAATATCAGATTGTGCGATCATAGGTAAATTCAGCCAACTAGGTTATTCTAAGACATATAATACAAGTCCTTACTTCCGGTATAGGTAGTTCCTCTTCCTCCACTTCCTCTACTTCCGGTACAATGGCCTCCATGTTCTCGTCAAGATAGTTCTCCACCAGTTCCCTAATCATCGCTATTTCCTCTGGTTTTGCCTGTGAAATGTTGCTTAATATAAATTCAGTAAAATTCAAATACTTTAAACCGGTGTTTTTCAATCTTTGATATCGCGACCACTTTACGGGTTGAAAAATTTTGGCGACTTTCTCGTGCCATAAATAGGCTAGGATATTATTAAATTGAAAGCTAAGTTAAAGCTAAAACCATCTGCAATAGTGGACATCAAAAACAAAAAAGTAGATATAAACTTCAATTACAAGCTGATTTGATAGTTGATATATAAAAATAGCTCCACGATTTCACATGCTTTTGAAAAATAAACTATCCCACCCTTCTCATTAAAATTTGATTTATATTATAGTGTAGAACATAATCTTTTTCTTTTGGGGTCGCGACCCACGGTTTGAAAAACACTGCTTTATTATACGCATACATTTGATAAAAAGAAAGTGAAAATCATGACTTTGGAGAATTTGTTATAGTATTTGTGATGTTTATTTTTGGACTTGTGGTCTAGAAATGTATCAAATGTGTTTTAATAATAGAGTTATAAACAATATTATTTTTATACTTTATCTGCGATAACTGTAATTTTAGTGAAATATAAAAATTTTACCTTTACAATAAAATTTGTATTATGCTTCCAAGACGTCCGAAGTCCATTATGAGAGTACATCGCAGTCTTCGCCTCACTTGGCCGCTAGATGTCGCTACTAATGGTCGGTAACTGATTACCGACCACCCTACCTGTCACTTCCGGTGCGGACTGTAGTCTAGCTTTTAAATCCAAGCCACCAATTTCGTCATTCTTAGGCTCATAATGACATAGCACCAGGAAGACATTACTGGGACTTCGGACGTCTTGGAAGCATAATACAAATTTTATTGTAAAGGTAAAATTTTTATATTATGCGTTCCGTTAGACGTCCGAAGTCCATTATGAGAGTTTGTTTGTTATCTCCTGGTGGCTTGATTAATATATGTTTACATTAAAATGCAACAATGTGATTAGCAATATATTGTAAATTTAAAATCATAATTATTACATAAATCAATTATTGATCAGGCTGAAAATATTGAGACAGAGACTTCTCTGACGTGATATTTGTATGTAAATCATCTATATTTTTTAGATAGAATTTTCTAAAGGTACATTCATGCTGCCAGTTAGCTTTGGCTAAAATCTCATTAATAGGGTAATTTTCTACCCAATTTAAAGAAGAGACTGCTGATCTACAACTTCCAGCTGGCGCCTGAATACCAGCTTCAGCTAGAAGTTTCTTTATCCAACCACCGATCATTGCTGCAGTTGCTGGCCTTGTAGGACTTCTAGTCGCTAAGAATAAATTTGTTATACCTCCTCGGGTATTTCGAGTCAGATTTACTAATGTACGTAACCAATATACTGCATCAATGCTCTTGTCTGGTGAGGATAAGAAAGTCCAGCTAGATTGTTGGTAGGAAGAAGAGTCCGTCTTAGAACCGAAAATGGGATGCAAGGTTATCGAATTTATATTATCTACAAAGTGAAGTTCATCTACGTGCAAAAGGGTGAGGTCGTGTACTCTACGACCAGATGATAATAATAATATAGCTGCTGTATGTCTGGATACTTGATACAAACTATTTAAATTTATATTACAACTTTTTAAAGACCTAATCAATATCCTGGCATCCCAAATCGGAAGCTTAGGGGGTTTAGGTTTTGCCAACGAAATAGCTTTGAGTATATGTTTTACTATTGGATTTGTAGAAACCTTGATATCGGATATCGTTTCACAAACGGATGCAATGACTGATTTATGCACAAGAATGGTTCGGTAGGAAAGACCATGGGTTAAAAATAGATAGGCTAAGTACCTTGCTACATTAGCTGGCTTCGGTAAACGAAAATTAATGCTATTTCCTTGACAAAATCTTACCCATCTACTCCAAATTGGGGCATATGTTTTAATGGTAGACTGCCTCCAGCAAGATGACAATAACTGTTTCTCTTGAGGCGTCCATGTCTCTGTTAAATCGTCCCACCCAAAATCAGCCAGGCTTCCAGGTGTAACTTTCCGACTTTCGCTGGTGGTTGCATTGTCGCTGTGTCGACCAAAGTTTCGTTCAGATTTCTGAGTTTCACAGGGTGCCTTATGGCACGATTCTTCACATCTGGCCTCCAAAAACATTTCTTCCACTTGGGGGCTATTAGGATGAACTGACCCGAGGCTGAATTTAGATGATCCAGAGCCCTGGGTATTAAGCTGGGTGGTGGGAACAGCCATGCAAGTCTGTAATGCCACGATTTGCTGAAAGCGTCGTGAAAGTAGGCGTTCGAGTCTGACAAGTCTAGAGAACAATAGTTTGCCACGACATGTGCCGTCTGCGAAGCAAAGAGGTCTAAATCGGGTGTGCCCCACAGGCTGAACAACCTTGAAGTTTCTTTGTCTCTGATATGCCACTCGACGGGCGCGCGGTTTCGAGACAGGCGGTCGGCTTCGGTGTTCAGGAGACCTGGCAAGTGGTGCGGGCGAAGCACAATGTTGAAGTGGTCTACTAGATTCAGGAGTTGTCGGGTCAATTCTAACAATTGACGTGATCGTGTTCCGCCTTCGTTCTTTATGTAGGTCACGACCGTTTGGTTGTCGTTCTGAAGAATCACTGTCGAGTTTCGTAGCTCTATCGCTTTGACTGATATCGCGGTGAACACTGCCCACATTTCTTTCAGATTGCAATGCCAATTTGCCTGATGTTGTTCCCATGCACCTTTTATCAGTTCGTTGTTTACAAGGGCTCCCCATTGAATGTCTGACGCGTCGGTGATGACGTGGTTCGTCAACATTCTTTTGGGATGAATCGGTGACTGTCCGCCGATATTTTCTGTCCACCAAATCAGTTCTGTACGTACCTCTTCTGAGAACTGAATCTGGGATTGTGGACACTGCCTGAGCCTGTTGCTGTGTAACTGTAATAACCGGCAATGTAACCTTCCCCTGGGGGTGATGAAGGTTGCAAAGTTTAGGTGACCTAATAGGCGCTGAGCCTGTTTTAGGTTCCAAGTACGGGCCACGAGCCGCGCACGTAATATTTGCCGAATTCGTTGGACCTTGTCGGAGGGCAAGAACTTTGTGTTGGTATTGGTGTTCCATACCACTCCCAAATAATCGATACACCTCGTTGGTGTGATTATCGATTTTTCTGTATTGATCCACCAACCCAGATCGGTCAGAAATTGTGTTGCGACCTGTACCTGAGTTGTGAGTATATCTCTGTCCTGATGGGCTATCAAGTAATCGTCGAGATAAATTACTAACCGCAGCCCTTTCTTGCGAAGTATTTCTGCGGTCCAGTTCGTTACGGAGGCAAAAATTCGAGGCGCTGCTGCTAGCCCGAACGGCAGACATGTCATCTGCAAAAGTTGACCTTGATAGCTGATCCGAAGAAATCTTCTGTGCTGATTTTTTACAGGACAGTGATAATAGGCTTGGCTTAAGTCCAGTTTCACCATCCAATCTCCTCTTTGAAGAAAATTGGGTATTTGGTGATGATGAAAAAGATTGAAATGTTTTGGTTTCATGTACTGGTTTAATGCCTTGAGATTGAATATTGTTCGACTTTTCCCGTCGGATTTCGATATTATGAATAGAGGAGAAATGAAGGAAGGTGTTAGCGGTGCTGGCTCCAAAACCTTCAAATGAATTAATTTTTGAATTTCGTTCGACATTATATTTGAAGTCGGAGTTTGATACTTCCTTAAAACCTCTAAAGTTGGGAAAACTAGAGGCGGTGGCTGGGTGAATGGTATCTTGAGACCAGTAATTATTTTGCATATTGATTTGGGTGCATTGAACTGTAGCCAAATTTTTATAAAATTTTTCAGACAACCGCCTGAAAAAATCATCGAGTCATTTATTTTTATACCCCTGCCTTCCGCCCTCTGCTCTATATTTCCTCCCCCCTTTTCTTGCAGTCGAGGAGTTTTTCGGATGAAATCCAATACGGTCCTTGGTCTCATCCTGCCTGACTTTAAAATTGCTACTTTTTCGACCTCGAAACGACTGGATATTGGATGAAGTCGAAGGCTCAGGCGATTTCGGACGAGAACGGGTAGATGATAAAGTTTGTTTTTGTAATTTATCTACCCCGCCAATTTTTTGTAAATATATTGACAGCTGACCGGGATCAAACATGTACTCGCAAGAAGGAGGTATTTTATTAAGGTCTTCTTTCGTAAATTTATCTTTTAATTTTTTAACTAAATCCCGCCTACGTAACTCTAAAACTTCAGCCCGTTTGCCGCAAATCATTTGTAGTATATCGTGAGAAACCGTTTTGTAATCGGAATCGTTTCCAAATAATTGGTTTAATTTTTCATAAATGACGGTAGCGTTGAGTTGAGTGTCGGTAGACGCACACCAATCAATGAGAGTTTGTAAAGCAGAATTTATCGCTTCGTTTTGGGCTAAAAATGCGTTGGATAACGCGGCAAAACTACGTTCCATTTGAAACCAACGTAAAGGAGTAAAAGGATCCTCTAAACGTCGCAGTTCCTCATTTACTTTTAATTCCGTAAACGCCGGGAAAGCCACATATTTTTTCTGAACGTCTGTATAACGAACCGCATTCCAGTCAGGTGAATCAAATCTTTGCATAACCCTTATTCTGTCAACACGAGCTGGCTTTGCTTTCGGTAAAGAAGGTTCTGTGACGGCCACGTTTAAATTAACAATACCACCCGCATTTAATTTCGGCGGACATAAAAATTGTTCATTGGCCGATAATACCGAATTATTTGAGTTATTAAATAAGGGTACTTGCACGTTTGTGGATTCATTATGCGTAGGTTGAGAAAACCTAGCCGATAAAACATTATTTAAATGACTCACCAGCTGCTGCGACAATATGTCAAACCTTTCCTCCAGGTCCTGCAGACTGGCTCTCCTTTGGCGTTTTCTCGGCGGCTCCTCGTGATCCGAAAGGCTTTCCGAAGAGCTACCTCCGCTTGAACTCTTCTCTTCAGTAGGCACGATATCTTCTCGATCACTCATTTTATATTCACTTTTATTTCGTAGGGTATTTAAATAAAAATAGCGACAATTATTATGACTTTTTACAGTTTTTCGTAACGACCTCGGCTCGGCTCGAAAAACGATGCAACAATGACGAAATTGGTGGCTTGGATTTAAAAGCTAGACTACAGTCCGCACCGGAAGTGACAGGTAGGGTGGTCGGTAATCAGTTACCGACCATTAGTAGCGACATCTAGCGGCCAAGTGAGGCGAAGACTGCGATGTACTCTCATAATGGACTTCGGACGTCTAACGGAACGCATAATATTATTTGCTATGTCCTATCCTGGTCTCTAAGCTGTGATGCTGTGAAATTTCATAAAAATCCGTTCAGTAGTTTTTTCGTAAAGGAGCAACAAACACATACATCTTACACACTTAAGTTCTTGTAATATTAATAGTATTTACCGAATATATGTATATAAAAACGTTTAATCATATAAAAAATAATGGAATTATAAAGAATTATATTTAAAAAAATTCATAATAATTCTAAAATAAGTACTTAACAAAACCAAATGTATTATTGTAAAAAATCTATATATTATTGTAATAAGATTATTATAATCGTATTCTGGTGGAGAAGAATATTATATAATAAACTTCTTCTCCACGAGTAAGCCTACCTTCTTCTTCTTCAAGTCAGGGTCCGGTAGTATCGCTATTTGCTCGTTTATGTAATCCATAATATCTTTTTCAACTTGAGCCACTATGAATTCACCGCTTGTAGTAGACATCTGTCTGCCGGCGACCATACCTGACATATAACTTAGTGTTTAAATATAAATATAATATTTTCTTAGGTCGTGGTGGCCTAAAAGTTATAGGCCCGCCTCTTATACATGAGGGCAAGTACCAATGTGATAGTTCCTAGTCATATGTACTTTAAGAGTATTTAGCCACCACTGACTGATGAAGGAAAACATCGTGAGAAAATCTGGAGTTATATCAAATTATAAGTTTGAAATCACCAACCCGTCTTGAGCAAGCGTGGTGATTAATGCTCAAACCTTCTCCATGTGAGAAGAGGCTTAGCAGAGGGCTCTGATAGGCTGATGATGATGAAATGATTTGTATTCGTTGTTCAATCTTATTACCCGCCATAATGATTTGGCATAACTGAATAATGAACAAGAGATTTGTCAAATGTCATTAAGACAAAATATACCCACCTTTTTGCGAAAACTTTTATTTATTCTCAATTAAAATATATTTTAAACATACACAAAATATATCCGAAATAAAGAATAAAATTATATTAATATACGAATAATCTAAATTACTAAAGTACAAACATAATAGTAACTACTCACATATTTGCTAACTACGCTACGTCTATTTAATTCTACCCACACATTTCAATATATATACTGTGTGATAGAAGAATATACATAATCTATTTTCATATAACAACTACTTCAAGTCTAAACCAATTCTGTAAACCAAACCTAGATCGTAATTAGCAGATTTAAACTTGTCCACAATAATTTCTATTTCTTCGAAGGTTTTCTCCAAATCAGCTATACGTTCCAATCGTCTTTCTTCACACTGTTACAAATGTTGTAAATATTAACAACTATAATATGTCATTATCATACAATTATAAAACAACCAGCTTTCCGCCCGCAGCTTTCGGAGTTCGGTTATATCGCTTTTCCAAGAGAACCTTTCAAAAATCTGGGATGAAAACTATCCTATGTTCTTTCTCAAGGTTAACTCTATGTCTGTACCAAATTTCATTAAAATCAGTTCTGTAGTTTAGGCGTGGAACCGTAACAAACAAACAGACGCAGTTACTTTCGCATTTATAATATTAGTAGGGATTTACTTCGTCCAAGAATTCTTTTATTCTATCAGTCTCACTATTCTTTTCTTCTGTAACTTTTGATTCTTCTGTACCGAACATATTCGATTCTTCTTCTTCTGCAAATTCTTCTGCGGCCTGTTCCCCTGTATATTACTCTTTTAAATTAAACTATTCGAATCTTATATGATTTAAATTAATTTCTGCATCTACTATATTTAAATTTAATTTAAATTAAATTTCAAATAACCGTATATCTCATAAGGTATCTCATTGTCTTCTTCGTCGTGAAGAATAATCTCAATTCCTTCTTTCTTTTTTTCAGTCTTTTCTTCTTTTCTTTCTATATTAAGAGTTATATATTAATACATTATTTACTATAATGTATGTCTGTATGCTATATAAAATTAGTGACTTTCCTTCAAGTGGTAAAATCATCTATATTTGAAATCTTATATAAAACTTAAAGTGCATTAAGGTCATAAAATTTAACTAAAATTACACTGTATCTAAATAAAAACATGTTAAAAAATATAGAGAACTAGCTTTCCGCCCGCGGCATCGCCTGAATCTAGTTCGGTTATATCGCGTTTCCAAGAAAACCTTTCAAAAGTCTGGGACAAAAACTATCCCATGTGCTTTCTCCAGGTCAACTCTATCTCTGTACCAAATTTCATTAAAATCAGTTCAGTGGTTTAGGCGTGAAAGCGTAACAGACAGACAGACAGAGTTACTTTCGCATTTATAATATTAGTAGGGATTTACTTTGAAATATATGAATGATAATTAAGCAACTAAGCAAGTATATGTTCAAGTAGTCACAATTAAAACACGACATGACTTAAGTACATAAGATATTCAAGATCAAATATATCTTTGGATAACCAAGTTTTAATATTAATCTATGTAATTTCGAGTTATATATACAACTAGCTTTCCGCCCGCAGCTTCGCCGCGTGGAGTTCGGTTATATCGCGTTTCCAAGAGAACCTTTCAAAAGTCTGGGATAAAAACTATCCTATGTTCTTTCTCAAGGTCAACTCTATCTCTGTACCGAATTTCATTAAAATCAGTTCAGTGGTTTAGGCGTGAAAGCGTAGCAGACAGACAGACAGACAGACAGACAGACAGAGTTACTTTCGCATTTATAATATTAGTAGGGATAAATTTTAATAGATTAAACAAAACATATACATATTTAAAAGTATTAAAAATATATTAGTTACTATTTTTATTATTATTATAACGTCCATGGTAGAAAATCTAAAAAAAATCCTTAATCTGGTAAAAAAAATAACAATTATTAATTGATATTTGACCTGTGACTTCTCAAAGATACGTATATACGTATATATACAAATAAAAATTATCGAATATTATTATTCTACATTAATAATAATATATTTTTTGTTTCAGCAGCATCAGAAATGTTATAGACGTATTTTTAACGTCACAATCATATATCGGTATTAAATCAAATATTATTATTGAATAAATTTAGTCGATATTTTAACAGAAATAAAATTATTTATATCTTTTTGTATGCATTTTTTACATACCTTTTTTATCTTGCGCTGGGATTTCTTCGCCGCTCATCTGTCGAAGCTTTTGCTGCAAAAAGTGAATTAACATATATTTTTTAAATGAATTACTGAATCGACTTCTTGAAAATCATGAGGGCAAGAGTTATTTTAGATATTAATGCAACAAAATCATGTAATCAAAACTTTACCAACTAAAATATATCATTAAAATTGGTTTAGTAGTTTTACGTTACGTTTTAAATATTGTTATAACTAGAATTCAATATTTTCAATGAATATAAAATTAAAACTAACATCTACTTCGTCACTCGCAGTTGCCCTACCTGAAAAACATTATATGAATAATAATTATGTTTCAAACTAAAATAACAGTAATTAATAAGCTACATACTAAATTCTAATTTATTTATTGTATTAATACCCAACTGAGTTATTGTATCTATAATATAAAACCTTTTTATTAAACACCTCCATATATTAAATCAAATGTCAACTGTCAAATATACAATACGACCTTTTTTAAGTCAAATATCTACGTTCAAATGACATGAAACGTCAACTGTCCAATGTATAATACGACCTCTTTTATTTTAAAACACGACTTGGCAGAATATACTGTGCACGTCTTTGCCGGGATGAAGGATATATTAAAAAAAAAAACAACCAACTTTATTTTTAACTACGTTCAAATGACATGAAATGTCATCAGTCAAATCTATAATACGACCTTTCCTTTCCCTCATATAGTTCTCTCTCTCTATCTGTCCCGCTCTCTCCATAGACGGAGATCTCTCTATCTTTCCAAGAGCCGGCATATTTAATTTCAAACTGAGTCTTGTCGTTTGAGGGACCATGTCATTTATGAGGTTAAGTTTCTGGACTTGCTTCGTCTCTCCCCAATATTCGTCAGATACAGTCTATGTAGAAATAAGGCTGGATACATATTAAAGTTTAGAAAATAAGGCATTTTACACATGATAATTAGTTGTCGAAATTTAAATACATTAATGGTATATGAAGAATTTTTATGTCGCACGAATAATATATTTTGTTATTATATATTTTTTTTACTTACATCTGGTTCAGACACCACTTCTAACGTGACCTGTTCTTCTTCCTCCATAGTGGATTCCGTCTTTGGAGTTTCCCCTACAAAATCACAACCAAATAAATTTCAATCTTACCATATATTTAAACTCATTGAAATAACTTTATTCTTAGTACCGATATACTTTAATGAGCTTATTTTATTTATTTATTTATTAAGATCCACCAGGAGTAAATACATCAACACAATCTTCTATATATATAAAAATGGATTGCTGTTCCTTAGTCTCGCTAAAACTCGAGAACAGCTGAACGGATTTATGTTATCATAGTCTTGAAATGTTCGTGGAGGTTCAGGGAAGGTATAAAAGGTGAGAAAAATTGGAATAATTGCCGGGAAAACCCTAAAAACAGCCCTTTTCTATTTCCTATACAAACGTTTTTTTGACATTAGATTTGACAACTGACTAATATGTCAATCATTCTGTTCGATTGAAACAGGAAAAACCTGATTATTTATGGCCTCTAAGACGGAATATAGTTCGCCCGGTCAGCTATACATATATTACTAATGACGAAACTAACGCGGACGAAGTCGCGGGCAAAAACTAGTATTATATAATATAAAAACTATTTAGCATTACCTATAAGGAGAATACCTAAATTCTAGCTTATGATTTTATAAAAACTTTCAATTTTCAACCTACCCTCTCTATATCCGTTTAGATATTTGACATCTTTGGACGCATCCATGGCAGCTAGGAAGCGGTACATCATGAGGAAATCTTGAACAGGTATGGCTGCTGACCCACCGTCAGGCTCGTGAGTGAGTGTCTCACACAGAAGAATCATGGTATGCGTTAATGTCTTAAAGAAACCATAAAAAAAGCAATAAAAACCTTAGAAAATTATATAATAATAATAATAATAATCTTTATTTCGACCAAACAGTCCATAGGGTAGAAAATAAAAGAATGGGAGCGTTCAAGTATTACGTAACGCAATTTTTGGGGAGTGGGGGTCTCGTAAAACGTTACGATGCGTTACTGTGGCGGGAGGGGGTGTCTCTTACAAAACGTTACGTAGCATTGTTTATAAAAAAATATTAATAAAAACCCCCAAACTGGCAACTCTTTTCATATAAATTACATTGTTGACCAGATTGTATTAGTCTGGTCGATATTTTTATTTATTCCAAGTTTGCAAACTTCTTAATTGATATTTTACGGGGAAAACCTAGAATGCACTGTGAGGCTTTTGATGAAATTGATCACTTGAGTGTTACTGTGCGTTACGAGGGTGGTAGGGGGGGGTCAAAAATCTTCGAAAATTGCGTTACGTAATACTTGAACGCTCCCAAAATAGGATAGGTACATTAAAAAAATATATAACACAAAATTAAGACACAGCGTCATATTATGTATGGCCAAAAAATTTTGTTATGTTCAATTCAAGTTCAAAGTTCAATAAATTTAAAGTATTATTGCTTATTATCAGATTGTTTTCGTTGATTTAAAATGGATTATTATCACGAGGGTCCAGACCTTTGTCAATAATCCACCAGCGACAGCTATGAAATTGAGGAAGGGTACTTCTTCGTGCCTCATATAAACTTCACAGAGACAAAAAATCTTGTTTAACTCCTGAGTGTCGAGACAGAAACCGCGCCACGCTTGACGAACAGATGACAACGGAACGGATGCCATGCCACATAGCTAGAAAATTACTTCTATATATATATAATTAAAATTAATATACAGGGTGACTGGTGAATTACTATCAATATTTAAGGAGAATACTCGGTACATGATTCTCATTCGAATTATGTAAAAAAAATAGGCACTTATTTTTTGACAAAATTTCCGTATAAATAAAAAAAGTGTTGACACGTTCCAAGTGTTCCAAGAGTGGACGCGTGCGGCGGCGTGCTGATACAACACCACGCTCCCAAACGCGTATGTGTGTGTGTGTGTATACCTAATCTGTAGGGTGTTCACACGATGCGTGATTAATTACATAACTTTTGGTTAACTTTACTTAGAAGTTTATTAATATTTATGTTAAATTTTTATTTTGTCATATATGATCGTCAAATATCACGTCCTCAAGTATCGATAGTAATTCACCAGTCACCCTGTATAAATATAATAAATAATTTGTTAAACCGTCTACGTAGCATTTAATAACTTGACTGCTTGACGACAATCAAGAATTCAGGTATTAATGAGATCTAAGATTTTCGCGAGTACTCATTTAAATGAAACTAATATTTTCGGATTTTGATCACGTGATCACGGTTGCTGAAAAGTAACCGAAACGTCGGGAGTATGTAGTTTGTAATCAAAAATAAAAAAACGCGAAGTAAAATCCGAAAATATTAGTTTCATTTAAATTCAGGTATTATGTCATACTCTTTAAAAGCGTACAGCATAATATGCTTGTGTGTGTGTGTGTGTGTGTGTGTGTATGCCCCTACAACCTTACCTGATTAGCAAGCACCTTCAAGCATCCTCTCGTAAGTCCGCCCTCGGTGCTATAAATAGGATACTCCAGCCTCAATTTGACCGGAGGCGGCCTATGTTCTGATAAAGCCGTGAAGTACTCGTACGACCAACGTAACAGATCGTACGGCTGGGTTTTTATTGCCGCTGGAAATTTTAGTAATATTAACTAAAGGTGACGCTTTCCCAAAGAGGGTTGATGTCAGGCAGGCGGCCGGTCAATGAACATCGCCGGGGTAATATCGTTGTATGTGTAATATATAACGAATGACCCTGCTGACTCCGCGGAACGAACACCAAGCGTGTGAACCAGAAGATTCCTGATACACACAAGCTATGGAATGGTATTGCTATCATAACATCGGGTCAATCATGTAGTCTTAGGTGTAGGTTATAAGTTTTAATATGTAATTCTTATTTTAATATACATATAAGTAGTTTTCCTGAAACCTTCGATTGCCACACTATATAATTAAGACTACTGGAATTAACGCTGAACATTGAAAAACTAATTTAAAACTGTATTTCAAACAATAAATAATAATAGCAGATTGTTGGCAGTCATTGCTTGTTTTATACGCTTTAACGAGACGAAAAGATAAACAACTTAAAGATTTTGGTCTTTTAAAGGAAGCTGCCAACAGTAGCTTACTAAAGTGGTGGTGAAATTATCAAACCCATCCTAAATGTGTAGCTTATTATTATAACACATCGTGGTAGCCTAGTAGTTGAAGGCCCATCTCTCATGCATGAAGGCGCGGGTTCGGTCCTGGCAAGTACAAATGTGATTGTTCCGAGTCATGTACTTTAAGAGTATTTAGCCATCACTGACTGATGAAAGAAAACATCGTGAGGAAACATGGACTTATATCAAATTATAAGTTTGAAATCACCAACCCGTCTTGAGCGAGCGTGGTGATTAATGCTCAAACCTTCTCCATGTGAGAAGAGGCTAAGCAGTGGGCTCTGATAGGCTGATAATGATGATAAAACTTTAGTGTTACTCATGATACAGGTTCCAATAAGAAAAATAAACTAAAAAATTCCGACACCAAGTAAATATATATTTATTTCCATTTATAACAAAAGAAAACACTATTTATGTACCAATATATATAAATATTCTTTTAGAAGCCGGAAATAAAACTTTTCCTAAAGAAAAACCTCCAAATTTCATCAATCTCTAACTTCCATACAAATAAAATATTTAAAAAAGTCACTTCCCCATACAAAATGACTTCAAATTTAAACCAAAGATTATTCATACACAAGTATATCATTCTTACAAAGATCGTGAAAAAAATAAAGAATTCATATTAAAAGTAAAAAATATAATATTTCCTTTGGTACAAAAAGTTTAAAAGTATACAGAATCGAAAATAATGAAACTGTAACTAAATAAAATGAAAATATTATGTTCATATAACTATCAAAATTAATTTAGTTTTTTGATCAGACAATTACTATATAAAAAATAATTTGTCAGATTTATTTATGCAACATTATTATATGAAAACATAATGTACACCAAATTTTATTTTGGCAATAGGATTTCTATTATTACGAGCAAAGTAACAGGCAAAAGTTAGTATATTTACCTTTGCAATATCTTTTCAATATATATGGAAACTTCGGCGGTATCACGATCTGCTGGGAGCAGTACATCTGCTCAATTAGCTCAGGCATCTTGAAGATAATACTGAAAAAATAATCATAATATTATATTAAATACTAGCTTTGGGGCTGTCCATTAATCACGTGAGGCTTGAAAGGGGGGGGAGGGGTTTGATAAAAATCACGAAAATAACACAAGGGGGAGGGGGGGTGTAGTAAGATATCTCGTGTATTTATTTTTTCGTCTAACGCGCGATTTTTAAACAAATATTAAGCGGCACGGCGCGGCGTGTAGTGACCTCGACTCGCCGTCCAGGCAACGGATGATATTCCTATGATTACACTCTTCGTTTATTATTATTGTTATGGCAATAAAAAAAAACTTGCGACCTGGTGTAGACATTTTTATTATGGTCCTTAATTTCAGAATAAAATAAGATTATAGTATATACCTGTATTTAAATTAAGATAATATTCAGAAAATTTCAAGATTCGTTGTAGGTACTAAAAATACACGTGATGTTGAGAAGGGGGAGGGGGGGTGGTCTTAAACCTCACTACGTATCACAAATGGGGGCGGGGGGGTTAAAAAATGCTAAAAAAAGATCACGTGATTAATGGACAACCCTTTCCGCCCGCAGCTTCGCCCGCGTGGAGTTCGGTTATATCGCGTTACCAAGAGAACCTTTCAAAAGTCTGGGATAAAAACTATCCCATGTTCTTTCTCAAGGTCAACTCTATCCCTGTACCAAATTTTAATAAAATCAGTTCAGTGGTTTAGGCGTGAAAGCGTAACAGACAGACAGACAGAGTTACTTTCTCATAATATTAGTAGGGATTCATCATCTAAGAAATAATATCGATTGTCAACATATTTGCAATTTTTATACGGGTAGGACTTAGGAATAAAATCGTCTTCATCATTTTCAATCAAACAAAATTTAAAACGCAATCGCTGTCTCCAATTTCTGATTTACGAAATAATATCTAAGATAATATACACATTTAATTTAAACTATTATTTTCGTATACTACGTGTTTCTTATTCTATATCTACATGATCTCGACGTTTGGGTTACTTTAGAGCATGATCATGAAGACGAAAATCTAAATTTGGTTTCAAGCCTTCTAACCTAATTTAGCATTTATATTACTTAGTGTATGTTAATAAGTACAATTGCATTAAAATGTACACTGTCAGCAACTCATAAATTCTTATTTTTTCACTTGTACAATAGTGTTTTAAATCGTCTTATTAAAACAAGAAAATCCGAGTAGCGTTCATATAGTATTTATTAAAATTTCAAGCAGAAATAAATAACTAAGCATAGTAGTAATGAAATAACAAATTTGTATATTACTTACCAAATATATTCAATTAAATATTTCAATTCGTACAAGTTAAAAACGTGACCTGAAAAATGGCTAGTTTGACATTTTGGTAACCATGGCAACCGCGGTCAATTTAAAAATTTACAAGAAATTATTTGTTACATTTAATAATAACTCTTATTTCAATTAAAATAAAGTAGTATATTGTACTTGAGAATTACAGCTATGTTAATATTTTTATTCACATCCCGAGAAGTTAGTCCTAAAAACTGCTACTAGGTGGCAATTTTCACTCCTTCTATTTAATTTTCCTTTAATATTTGTTAAAAACTTCATTATAGAGGCGATATTGTCAAGCTCTTGTGAAATATACTTTTACGAAATAAAAGAACCTATTTTACATTTTTGTTTTTTCTTTACAGGATTTATCTTCTTAGTAATCGCGAAGAAATTATATTTCTATTTGTATAGGATATACAATTCTTTCGAAAAAAAAAAATCTTTTTTATTGAAATAAGTGCCATCTGTAATATTACAAGGAAAACACTTAAAGTGATCAGTCACTACGTACACAACTGGTTACAATTATATTTTATAGATGGCGCTGTATCTTCCAATTGATTTGTTAATAATATAAAATGGGTTTTTTTATTCATTTTATGATTGATTTATTTACATTATTGTATGTAAAAGAATTTTAATTAATTTAAATTATATGTAAGATTAAATAAACGATACATTTATGATGTAGTTTAAACATTTAATATTATTTTCTACTCATATTTTTATTTCTTTCTTACATTTTATTCTACTTCTATAGGCATTTACATAACAAAATGTGCAAATTGAGTTGAGTAAGGCATACAAAACATTTAACAAAACCAGTTGTAAGCAACAAAGTTATAAAAATTTAAAATATTCACGAAATTTAGATCCGAAGTTAAATGATAGTCGTGTAACAAAAACAAATAATATTGTATTAATTTTAAATTCAAGGTTCAGAATTTGTAATTTAATTGGGAAAAATAAATTTAAACATTTTTTAGACTTATTTTTTTCTTCTTCCTTTACAGCGGTATATTTGAAAGGAAAACTATATACATTTTACATTATATTTTTATTTCCCTGTATTTCTTGTGGTTGTACAAAATTGTATTATAAGAAAATCATCGCATGAAATACAAAAAGATTACAATATTAGATAAACTTCTAGAAGATGTTGTAAGAAATTCTATAAGTTTTAAAAATATGACTATTTGACGAAATATACGAAGAAATTATGAATTTATATAAACAATTCATACGTATGTAGCAATCAACATAAAATACACAATCAAATCTCCATGGAATTCAAAACGCTAATAAAATTTTGTATGGTTCGTTAGATTTGAAGATAATATTTTATTTAGATTCAATTAAGTTTCCCGCGAACGTATACTCGTAGCTCCATCTAGCGGTGTCGTCTTGAACTACTTGGACGAAATCGATCACGTGGTACTGAGTCGAGAAAAAATATAAAACCTGTTTGGTAGGATGACGTATAGCTTGTGTTTCTGTGCCGAGAGCTTTTAGGGCAAAATAATCGTGTTTTGATTGATTTTACACCATAATATCATGTTAAAAGTGTCTAAACAACCATTAAATATATACAGGGATCATATGTGCGATATATAAACCAATTCGTGTATTAATAGTGTCTTTATTGGATAATCACATCGGTCGAATGTAACGCAGCATCTATCATATCAAGTACACGGAAAAAAATATGTGACATTATAACAAAATAATATATTTAGCAATGTTTGTGTGTGTTGCTGAGTTAAACAAATATAGTGTGTGAGAAATGGGTGACCTATTGAAACATCCATTCAAAGTGAAAACAAAAACATTGTTCGTTGTGATATCGAAAAAATGGATTTGATCACCGATTTGTCGCCCCTGAGTAAGTCATTCAACATTTTTAATATTACTAAATATGTCATTGATTTCAATTCCACACCGAGATAAATTTCAACACGAATAATGATTACCAAATATAAACGATGATATATATTATCTATACACTTTATAATATGTAGTATACTTTCTAAAAAAACGAGTTTCCTATTTAAAAAGAGATTATTTTTAATATTATGACAAATGAGTATAAATATCACGGTTTCCGTTATGTTACAACTATAATTTACTATTTTATGGTTAAAACTATACAAGATAATCAATATAAATGTAAATGTTTTAAACCAATGATATGTTTTTTAAACACCAATAGACGGTGTCTGGTTTCGGCGTTTGTATTCCGATAACATTTACTAAAGGTCCACAATAGTGATAAAGGTCAACAATTCGTTGCATTTTGCTAGGTCAAATCTTTATTAATATAATAATCATTCTTTTATATATCTGTGTGAGAAAATATGTCCATTTATAACGTACGTCGAAGCTGATTCTAATTTAAAGAGGAAATAAGTAGTTTCTCAATTATGACCGAGTTCACATGCTAAAGACGTTTTCATTGAATTGTTAATTGAAAGATATTCTTAATAAATACCTAAGTAAAATAAGGATATATGAAATGTAAATATTTTATTTATTTATATGGGAAACTCTGTAAATGAATGATTAAGTGGAAATGTAATAATTATATACGTTTTTTTCCATTTCCTTTGTAAGAATTTTAATTGGATCAAAGAAATATATATGTAAGGAATTATTGTTCTAGATAGTTTTATAACGCGTCTCTTTTTTATTATCTTCTTCTTCTATATATATAAAAATGGATTGCTGTTCCTTAGTCTCGCTAAAACTTGAGAACGGCTGAACGGATTTATCTTATCTTAGTCTTGAAATGTTTGTGGAGGTTCAGGGAAGGTATAAAAGGCGAGAAAAATTGATTCATTTTCGGGAAAACCCTAAAAACAGCCCCTTTCTATTTCCCATACAAATGTTTTCTTTGACATTAGATTTGACAACTAACTAATATGTCAATCATTCTGTTCGATTAAAACAGGAAAAACCTGATTATTAATGGCCTCTAGGGCGGAATAGAGTTCGCCCGGTCAGCTATACATATATTACTAACTAGAAGACCTGGCGAACTTCGTATCGCCCTATAATCAAGAAATATCTATTACGTTTTTTATTTATATTTTTGGAGTTTACCTGTAAGCCATAAGTCTGCGTGTTTTGAAGTGCGACAGAATGATTGACAGATTAGTTAGTTGTCAAATCTAATGTAAAAAAAACGTTTGTATGGGAAATAGAAAAGGGCTGTTTTTATGGTTTTCCCAGTAGTGAATCAATTTTTTTCAGCTTTTATACCTTCCCTGAACCTCCACGAACATTTCAAAACTAAGATAAGATAAATCCGTTCAGCTGTTCTCGAGTTTTAGCGAGACTAAGGAACCGCAATCCATTTTTATATATATAGAAGAAGATGATGATGAAATTAACGCGGACGAAGTCGCGGGCAAAAACTAGTTATTAATAAAAAAGGCGTTAATTTATTAAAAACTGTTGCTATTTATATTTAAATCGAATTAAGTAGGTGATAATATTAATTTATATTTTAAATATGTGTACATATATATTTTAGGGTTCTTTACAGTAATTGCAATTCAAAAATAGTTACTAAATGCAATTGTTCCTGGTGCAATAATTTTGTAGCTATGTCGTATTTCATTATATTTCAAATTTGTCACAAATTATATATTTTTGTTGCGTATATATAAAAAGATACTTTAAAACAATAGAAAATGATAATTTTAGAGTCTCAAAGCAATAAATATGTTTGTTTTTTTGTTAATAATTGTACGGAATCGTTTTTACGCGAGTTGGATTCACGATTTTTTATGTTTTATTGTAGTTTTCGTTGCATATTTAAATTTCAAATACCGTCTGATATCCTTGAAGAAAAGATAATTTCTTTATATATACATATATTCTTATTAAAATATTATTGTAATATATTGCATTTCAATTAATCGTGTGTAAAATTGATTATACGCTCGACAAACTTACGTGTTTATATATTGTTATACAAATATATTGAATGTGATTTCCTTATATTTTATTTTTGATTATAAAGAAATAATAATTAATTAAAAGTGTAAACTTTTTTCTATACAAGCTAATACCGCAGTCTCGTCCGCCAATGATCATGATTTTATTATATACAAATAATTATATTTAAATTAAAAAGTATTAAATTATATAGTACTTCTTGATACACTAATAGTGCCATCGAAATGAATCTCATTAATAATATCTATATATGTAATACCTATTTTACAAATGGCTGTGTTTGGAAAACGACGAAAACTCGTACTAAAAGAACAGAAAGACTTGTGCTAAAGGAAATAAAAAAAAGAAACTTTAGTATGGAGAACCTAGATTTTATAAGTTATAACTATCATACCTATATAAAAAACGTTTAAACTAGATAATGAAGGAAAAAAACTAATATTTATTTTGTATTCGAATTTCATAAATCTCTTGTTATTGAAGTTAATTTATGATAAATAAAATAATTATAAAAATAATTATATTTTTTTAATTAATATACTTTTATCTATAAAATTATTGAACTACCTATAAATATCTTATCATTATTATTAAATTCAATTAATTAGGTTTTTTTTTTATATTATTAAAAAAAACAGTAACAAACAAAACTCAGTAGAGTTTCACTGAGTAAACTTTCACGCTTAAACCACTGAACTGATTTTAATGAAATTTGGTACAGACATAGAGTTGACCTTGAGAAAGAATAAAGGATAGTTTTTATCAGGTATTTTTGAGAGGTTCTCTTGGAAACGCGATATAACCGAACTACACGCGGGCGAAGCTGCGTGCGGAAAGCTAGTATATACAGGGTGACTGGTGAATTACTATCAATATTTAAGGAGAATACTCGGTATTCACACGATGCGTAATTAATGACATAACTTTTGGTTAACTTTACTTAGAAGTTTATTAATATTTATGTTATATTAATTTTTATTTTGTCATATATGATCGTCAAATATCACGTCCTCAAGTATCGATAGTAATTCACCAGTCACCCTGTATAAGGAGAGTCTATGTTGAACTATCAAAAGATTTGTCAACCTTAATGGTCCTATTGAGTGGAGTAATAATGTCAATATCCTGAATCTATTTCTATATCTTAAACTGTTAGGGAGCAGAGGCCGTGGGAAGCTGGCTGCGGAGATTTAGAACTGGAAGGTACGATAAAGTACTGTTAGGTGGAAAAAGGTACAATAAGGTACAATGGAGTAAAAACTATAATTACTATTCAATTCCCGTCTTCTGCCTGGCGATTTCCCCAGCTATAGCCAGGGTCTTCCTTACATGTTGTGTATAGTTTTGTCTAATTGTTTTTACGACCGGCCGCCTGCCTGACAACAAAACTCTTTTGGGAATGCATTAATAAGTGATGTCTAAATAGTCTTAGAAAGTACATATGACTCGGAAAAATCACATTGGGCCTTGCTAGGGCCAGAATCGAACCCGCGCGCTCGTGCATGAGAGGCGGACCTTTTAACCACTAGGCCACCACTGACTTAATTATTACTCAATTCCCGTGACGTATTATAAGGATATTTTCTCTTATATTTAATATTGAGTTTCATCTTATTCCGTTCAGCCATGCATTTGATATACATACTACATACTAATATTTTATATGGCAAAGATTGGTGAATATGTGTGGATGTTTGTTTCTCTTTTACGCAAAAACTACTAAACCGATTTCGATGAAACTGTCCAGTGTTACAGCTTAGAGGTCGGAATAGGATATAGGGTATAATTTATCCCGGAATATCATAATAGTGGTACATTGTGTTACTTGACACGAATCATAGTTGTTAATGCCAGTTATTTTATTTTCATACAAATTATCCTTTAAATCAAAAACTAGTTCAATAGGTAGTATTTTATAAGATTTTCCAAATTGTTTTAAATATTTTTAAGTGCATCGATGGAACAAATTAGTTTAGGCGAAAGTAAAATTTAGTTTTTAGGACTTTTTAAATTGATATGACTATCTCTGATATAGGTAATCAGATTGTTTTCTGAAATAAAGAGAAAATTATCGACTTATCATTCAAAGTCCGATAGCTTATATAGCTAAGTTTGTAACGAGACCGAAGCACATTTAAGAATAAGTATACAGCTTGTTTATTTAGCTTGATGGCTTGTATTAAATAATTCTTTCAAGCTATACACAAGAAATATATACGTATATATGTATATAATATATATATTGTTTGAGGAAGATTCCAATTTATTTTTTTTGGACATGATCCAGCGTTTCTTCAGTAAATCTTCAAGTAGGTATATATTTCTTTTAGTATACATATAATTTTATCAATATTATATCCATTTTATAAAATCGGTTAAATATTATATTTAATTAATGTAAAAACGATCACCAAGTAAAAATTTTGAAACACACGTCGGTACGAATGTTAATGATGAACCGGTTGTGATAAAACTTTGTTATATTTATAGAGGCGAGGATAGGACAACTGTTGTAGTTAATATTAAATATATATATGCATTAGTGATTTTTTTAATGTATCGTGTAGGTTAAATACGGGCAAACCCACCGACAACAGCTAGTATATAATATAATAGATATAAAAAACAAACATATTTATACACAGTTTACGTAATTAGCCCCCCAAAAAAAATAAAAGAATTGCAAGTACGAAACAATTACTATTGCAAACGCAATTCTATCGAGTGATAAGGACGGATATATATAAGTATATACGTGCGAGAGAGACGGATGATGTAGCAGTTGGAAAAAGACAAACGCCAAGAAAACAATGTGTACACAGGGCGAGCTAAGTGATGGTGGAGTTTGTATGGTAATGTGGGTGATGAATGAACTTAGCGGCCCGCCGTACGGAACACCTGTGTTATTATGTGAGCAAATGTATTTTAGAGATGTGTCTTATGCTAAATATAATATATTCATATAAAATTTACTAGTAGAATTAGTCCAATTAATCAGAAGACCGAACGCTAAATGAATAGACTAACTCAGTAGACCAATAGACCAGTAGACTATGGATTGTATTGGAAACGATTGAATTGTCTCACATTATGACTAAAGTCGTATTTTGTTACGAAATTATCATAATAAGAAATCTGTCTAGATTTCTATTAGTTGTTAATAATGAGATCTATGATTACAGAAAATGTGAAATCTTTACAGATTTATTATATTCATTGATAAATATTTCTTATTGGTTTTAATGTACGGAACCATTGTAATAATTGCATATAATAGAATATTGCTATTAAGTTGGTCCACATTGGCTCAACATTGGCCATATTTGCTTAAAACCTCAAACAGTTGTGTATTCATATAAATAATGTTTTCCATATTCTTCTTCTACCTGGCAATTTCCCAGCTACAGCCAGGTTCTGCCTTACATGTTGTGAATAGTTTTTGGCTATTTGTTTTTACGACCGGCCGCCTGCCTGCCATCAACCTTCTTTTGAGAATCAACATTAATCAGTGATGTCTAAACACTCTTAGAAAGTACGTATGATTCGGAAAAATCACATTGGTACTTGCCCGGGGCAGGATCGAACCCGCGCCCTCGGCGACGAGAGGCGGGCCCTTTAACCACTGAGCCACCACTGACTAATAATGTTTTCCATATTATTTGTTAAAATTGTACAGTAAGTTAAAGTATGGGGATTCTTGAATTATTTTATGGAATTATCGCTATACAATATCTTTATATAAAAGAAATTCGTGTTTGTTACACTGTTTATAACTCAAGAACGGCTGTACGGATATGGATGAACATTAGTGGAGAGATAGATTAGAACAAGGAGACGGACGTAGGATATTTAATTGTTTTCGATTGAAAAAGAAAACTTATTAAATTCCAATATCTGGTTATTTACGGCCTATAGAGTTCGCCCGGTCAGCTATACATATATTATGTATTACTAATACCGATATTAACGCGGACGAAATCGCGGGCAAAAACTAATCCCTACCAATATTATAAATGCGAAAGTAACTGTCTGTATGTTACGCTTTCACGCCTAAACCACTGAACTGATTTTAATGAAATTTGGTACAGACATAGTATTGACCTTGGGAAAGAACATAGGATAGTTTTTATTCCAGACTTTTGAAAGGTTCTCTTGGGAACGCTATATAAGCGAACTCCATTCGAGCGAAGCTAGTAATTTACAATTGTTATTGGGTTCTACTGTAATCTAGTATATTTTATTAACCTATAGTGGTTGTAGATCATTTCTGTGTGAGTGGGGACGTCAGCGAAGCCCCCGCCCTGTATTGGAGACCATGTCGAGGTTTGGGGGCTAAAGGAGACTCCGCCCCCCTCACACAAATGTTGGATCAATAATAACACTATTCATCATCATACCTACAGCTTACGCCTCGATACGAGCTATAGATTTAAAGCATTCGATGCTAATGTAAAAAAATCATTGCCACAACCGGGAATCGAACTCGCTACCCCATGAATGTTGGTTTAAATCGTTCTGTCGTCTGAGCTATTGTGTCTTGAATGTGAGCTATAATTTTTTTGGATGGTATATATTTTTATCAAATAATAGTTTTTTGCACTCTATAATCTAAAATTACTTAGCAAAGTTTTCGTTTTTTTTTGTATATCATTTGGAGATTATATATGTATATATATAAGAAGTTATGAATATAACAACTTTACCAAAATTTTGATATTTTTATTTCCGTATATTAACGAAACTTACGATTAAAATTCACTTTTTATTTCTCTCGCCAATGAACTATAATTTGGAAGAGTTTCATAATATTTGGTCCAGCAGATTCGAGACAGCCGAAAATACATAAAGAAATTAATCTAAATACTTATTGGTTTAATCATATGAACAGAAAAATTAAAATTATAATCAAACTGAAATGTAAATCATAACCTCGTTTGATTTAGTCACAGTCGGTGAAATAAAAGTTAGTGATTGTCATTCTTGTGGGCTCGGCCTTTATTGATAAAACTTTTAGTAACCACGGCGACGATCTCGTGACACGGACAATTTAATCGTCGGTACAATTAAATGGGATTCTTGAATAATTACTGAATTAATTTTATTAACTGCGACATGATTTATATATTAGATTTTATAAGGGACTAAAAGACCTGGCGAACTTCGTATCTCCCTATAATCAAGAAATATCTGTTACGTTTTTCTAATTATATTTTTGGAGTTTAGTTATTAAAGCCATAAATCTCAGTGTTTTGAAGTGCGACAGAATGATTGACATATTAGTTAGTTGTCAAATCTAATGTCAAAAAAAACGTTTGTATGGGAAATAGAAAAAAGCTGTTTTTATGGTTTTCCCAGTAATGAATCAATTTTTTTCAGCTTTTAAACCTTCCCTGAACCTCCACGAACATTTCAACACTAAGATAAGATAAATTCGTTCAGCTGTTCTCGAGTTTTAGCGAGACTAAGGAACAGCAATCCATTTTTATATATATAGAAGATTATTGGTTTACATATATCAGTCAGTGGTAGCCTAGAGGTTAAAAGGCCCGCCTCTCATGCACGAGGGCGCGGGTTCGATACTGGAAAGTACCAATGTGATTGTTCCGAGTCATATGTACTTTATAACAGTATTTAGACATCACTGACTGATGAAGTAAAACATCGTGAGGAAACATGGACTTATAATTTCACAATTATAAATTTGAAATCGCTAACAAGTCTTGAGCAAGCGTGGTGATTAATGCGTTCCCAAAGAGGGTTGATGTCAGGCAGGCGGCCGGTCGTAAAAACAATTAGTCAAAACTATTCACAATATGTAAGGCAGACCCTGGCTATAGCTGGGAAATTGACAGGTAGAAGAAGATATATATAATTTTATGAAAATAAGTCGTCTGTTACTCTTAAATATAACCTATCAGCCAGTTGAAGTTACATCATAATGGGTCCAGCCGTTTTAAAGATTAGTAAGAACATTTTGACTTCAAGTTGTCTTCAAGCCTATTAAGAGTTTCAATCTTCACTACAAACGATTCACGTGGCGTTAATAGTTAAAAAAATAATTTAATTACTTAATTTTAATGTTACGGATGTACGGTGTAATGGGTCGTGTGACAGACAGACACGCGTAATGCTTATTAAAAAAAATTGTATGTATATATACACTAGCTGATTCTTCTGACTTTACCCTCGTTTTGTGATGAACTAATTTTGTTATGTAGTTTACGACTATTTTTGAGTAAAAAACTCAAGTTTTGCAATCTTGATTCTAAGAATGTTATATGTACTATTTATATTTCCCGGCTCTGTTTATGAAGTATAAATATTTAATTAATTAAAAGTTATTATCTATTATCGTATGAAGATTTTATATTAATATTCTTTTATTTTATAGTCACTACTCACTAGCTTTCCGCCCACAACTTCGCCCGCGTGGAGTTCGGTTATATCGCGTTTCCAAGAGAACCTTTCAAAATTCTGGGGTAAAAATTATCCTATGTTCTTTCTCAAGGTCAACTCTATCCCTGTACCAAATTTAATTAAAATCAGTTCAGTGGTTTAGGCGTGAAAGCGTAACAGACAGACAAACAGACAGAGTTACTTTCGCATTTATAATATTAGTAGGGATAAAAAAAATATTATACTAGCTTATGCCCGCGATTTCGTATGCATAGGTTTCAGAATTAGAAATGTTTAGCTCACCAGGCGAACTGTTTCTATAAGAGGCAGTAAATAAAAAGATTTTGTATATGTTCGAGCAAAATGTTTTTTATTTCGTCCGTCTCTTTGTTCTAATCTATCTCTCCACCAATTTCCATCCATATCCGTACAGCCGTTCTTGAGTTATAAATAGTGTAACTAACACGACTTTCTTTTATATACATATATGTATATACTAGAAGACCCGGCGTACTTCGTATCGCCCTATAATCAAGAAATATCTGTTACGTTTTTTTATTTATATTTTTGGAGTTTACCTGTAAGCCATAAATCTCCGTGTTTTGAAATGCGACAGAATGATTGACATATTAGTTAGTTGTCAAATCTAATGTCAAAAAAAAGTTTGTATCAACAACTACTAATAAATTAAAAATTAATTAAAAAAACATTGTCCAGCGGACAAAATTGTGAATCTAAACCATTCCCGGATCCCCTTGAACACGCACAAAAAATTTCATAAAAATCGGTCCAGTCGTTTGAGAGTAATTCAGTCACATACACACTCACAGAAGAATTATATATATAAAGATGTATATGTGTGTGTGTATATAATACACGTGTCATACACCTGTGTAACAAATTAGCATTATGCATTCCCACGACAATAATTATGGGTATCGAACCCACTGCATTTAAGCATTTAGAACATTTACCGACTTATTACGAGGGTGTACAAATTTACTTTGCACCCTTAGTAAGTGTTCATTCAGTTAACTTACGTACCGCAAGTTTTATAATATTTTTTTTCGTGTTTTTCTAATTTTGATATCTTCTTCTATCTGGAAATTTCCCAGCCTTAGCCAGCGTCTGCCTTACATGTTGTGAATAGTTTTGACTAATTGTTTTTACCGGCCGCCTTCCTGACATCAACCCGCTTTTGGGAATTAACATTAATCAGTGATGTCTAAATACTCTTATAAAGTACATATGACTCGGAACAATCACATTGGTACTTGCCAGGATCGAACCCGCGTCCTCATGCATGAGAGGCGGGCCTTTTAACCACTATGTCACCACTGACTTAAATTTATATGTTACAAATTTTTCTGAAGTCTCCAAACGTTTGACATTTTACGTTTATTTAATACGACATGTAATAATTACATTTAAACGTCAGTTTTTCTGTAATTCAATGTGAATGAATACGGATAGTTTGATAGTTTGTTAAAATAACTCGTACTAATATTTGTTGATCGACGATTTAATTTTACGACCGGAGTCATGGATTTGTTGACACGGTCAATAGAACGGTTTATTTTGATGGAATCGTGCAGGAGTTCTGTTTGAAGACCTGGAATTAATTAGATCCTATGACCTGCTTCAGCTGGAAATAATATAGCGTTCTGCAGAAGTCGAGAAATAGATATGAAACGCATGGTATATGAAAAATTTAATTTTGGACTAAAAGAAAAGATGATAGTTTTAGTTCTGCATCACCTGGAAATTTTAATTTAATTAAGAGTTTTATCAAAATCGGTCTATTGTTTAATAAAATTTCCCCGACATATGAATTTGATTTTCTCTATATGTAAATAATTGTGTGTTTGTACGTGTATGTTAATAATAATATATAAATGTTTTGTTTCACATAATAATACTTATTTCGGCCAGCTGTTCTGTCACAGGTGATTGGCCACCTACATTACACGCTCGATCGCATCACAAACGGTACAGCACAAGGTGCATTCAAACATTGGATATTCAAAAAAATTAATCGAAATTTATATACCTATATGTATTATTTATATGGAAGTTCTAAATTTTTAGTCAGTTTCAAAGTCTCTTGAATAGTTACGAAAAACAGTAATGCTTACTATAAAAACAATATAAACGGTAGTTTTTACTTAGGCATATATTAAATGATGTTACCTAAAAACTGTAAGTAATTTCTCGATAAATTATCCCTACTAATATTATAAATGCGAAAGTAAATCTGTCTGTCTGTCTGTTACGCTTTCACGCTTAAATCACTGAACTGATTTTAATTAAATTTGGTACAGACATAGAGTTGACCTGGCGAAAGAACATAGGATAGTTTTTATCCCAGACTTTTGAAAGGTTCTCTTGGAAACGCGATATAACCGAACTCCACGCGGGCGAAGCTGCGGGCGGAAAGCTAGTATTCTATATCTTATTCTTATGTTTAAACTAGACTTATGTTATGTTTCATTAAAATTTGTTTAGTAGTTTTCAAGTTTATATATATATATAGTTACGAAGTTTCGGTTATTTTGCAGTAACTGTAATCTTTTATTGGAGTTATTTCAATAAATACTAACGAAAGTCTTAAATCTCGTAATGTGGTTGAAACTTACTACAGTTATAATATCTAAATTCACGTTTAGTTTTTAGGTTTCTATTATTTATGAAAGAACAATTTAAGTCATACAAAACCTCTCATCATTCAATGTATTCATATGCGTGTGTCGGGTCCATCGTTGTAGTGAGAGGAGCTTCAACAGTGACTGGGACTTGTGACCCAGGTGTAGGTTTAAGGGGCCCCTTAACTAATGCGCGTTAAACACTCACCTCCACCGTCCAAGCTCCTCTCTCTAGCAAATTTGAAAAAAACCTACTAGAGCTGACATTGAAGTACGTTACAAGAATGAATTAATGTTAGTTCTGGACAGGCTCAAGTCTTTTATTAGTTTGTAGATAGATTTAGCTGTTATACCTCTCGCTTCCACCTCTACCGCGTACAAATCTACTACGAACCTATTTCTAGTTAGCTCATTAGTGAGCTCGTAATATTTATTGACCTTGATGGCATGGTCTTTGGGGATGTTGGTTTCCCAAGGAACCGTAAGCTCTATCATCACAACGCGTTTTAAAATTCGCGAATACATAAATATATCTTGTCTGGAGGCCGACGAACAAATATCCCATATTTTATTTTTATATATATATGTATTTTTTTTAATTTTATTTTTATTATAAATGCGAGACTTATGTTTGTTTTTCCAAACTAAAGAAGGAAACTAAGGTACTTTTAAGGTAAGTCGATTCTTGTATATTTAAGTCACAGTATAAAAATTCTGATTTTTGAATTATAAGTGTATATATTACGTATAGCAATGCTATACGGTAGGCAAATAAGTTGTGCAAAAAATAAACCTATTTAGTTAATAATATGTATGGATTTGTGTGTCCATGTGTATGTCTAGACCTTCATCTCGTCTTCATGATCACGGTTGCTGTAAAGGAACCGAAACGAAGAGATCATGTAAATGACTACTAATATTGTAAATGCGAAAGTAACTCTGTCTGTCTGTTACGCTTTCACGCCTAAACCACTGCACTGATTTTAATGAAATTTGGTGCAGAGATAGAGTTGACCTTGAGAAAGAACATAGGATAGTTTTTATCCCAAACTTTTGAAAGGTTCTCTTGGAAATGCAATATAACCGAACTCTACGAAAAACTTAGTTCAATTTAAATTTAGGTTATAGAAAGAAATAGTCATGATTAAAATTATTAATCCTACTTGATTATATGAAAACTGTACGTACATGCATTATAAAAAAAATATCATTTAATTTTTTTAGTTACCTATCAACATGTCGCGTGTAATGTAAAAAGATGATAATGTAATCCAATTAATGAAGCTTCTTTTATTATATAACAGTTTATTATTTTTTACATAGATAATTGTTGTTTTTAATCTCGGAACATATATATATTTATATATATATAAACCTGGTCTTAGTCCAACTGATTATGGTAAAATTTTGAGAATAGATTCTAGACTAAACGGCGTAATGATTTCGAAGCCTTAACGAAATCTTATCCCATAGAAACGCTTGTTTCTATAAATAAGTGACCTGAAGGAAAATTTTCATTATAATATATATAAGGTTTATGTCTTCTTCTTCCTAGCAATTGCTCAGCTTTAGCCAGGGTCTGCCTTACATGTTGTGAATAGTTTTGGCTGATTGTTTGTACGACCGGCCGTCTGCCTGACATCAACCCTCTTTGGGAATGCATTAATCAGTGATGTCTAAATACTCTTAGAAAGTACATATGGCTCGGAACAATCACATTGGTACTTGCCAGGATCGACCTCGCGACCTCATGCATGAGAGGCGGGCCTTTAACCACTAGATCACCACTGACTGTTTAAGCTACATTACTATTAAGTTTCATTAAAATCTGTTTAGTTGTTTTTCCGTGAGATAGAAACAAACGTTGATACATACAAACGGAAAAAAATTACTTAGATTCGATTTGCGAATAAAAAAATTATAAAATTAATTTATCTTCTCTTTATGTTTACTGTATTGAAAAATAGAGTTTAAATTTAAACCAAATACATATGTTATAAGCAAGTTAAATAAGAATGTATGGTTAATACTACAGTTAAATGCTAATAATTTTAAGATATTGTAAGTATATGTAATGTATATATACATATATATAATAGTATATATATAAGTGACTATAGTTTATGAGTCGACTGAAATCGAATCAATATGCTGACAAAAGGCTTTAGTGGTATTTTAAGGTTGTTATAAGTCAATTAATTATGAACCTTGATGCTATATAATAGAGTGCATTTTAGAATGTTTTCACAACCCCATAGGCATATAATGTTTTCAGACAAACAGTTCCATTGGTTAGCTCGCTTTACCAAGGGGAATATTTACCCCTAACCGATAATAAGCAAATATATCTGTCTCGCTCTAACATATGTGTACAGATACATTCGTCTCTTTCACTCATCAGGCCGAGGGTTGGAATCCCTCAGTGCCTTCCAAGTTGAAATATTTGACGGACGCATTAATATAGCGGTAGCATTAAAAAAATAAAGAAGTGATTTGATTATTATTTATTTATTAATTTATTAAAAAAAAGACGTTCAATTGACTACTTTTTTGTTATAAAATGTGCTGTCATTATTTATTTTTGGATGCGACGTGAAAATATTATAATGTTATTGTGTTAAATGAAAAATGGAATATACATGGCATATTGGGGAGGTACAGGAAACAAGCGGACGGACGAACACAAGGAATAATAGGAGTCAAGGTATATATATAATATATGTATATATAAAAGAAAGTCGTGTTAGTTACACTATAACTCAAGAACGGCTGTACGGATATGGTTGGAAATTGGTGGAGAGATAGATTAGAACAAGGAGACGGACATAGTATATTTAATTCTGTTTGATCGAAACCCTTCTAATATTTATAAATGCGAAAGTAACTCTGTCTGTCCGTCTGTCTGTTACGCTTTCACGCCTAAACCACTGAACTGATTTTAATGAAATTTGGTACAGAGATAGAGTTGATCATGAGAAAGAACATAGGATAGTTTTTATCCCAGACTTTTGAAAGGTTCTTTTGGGAACGCGATATAACCGAACTCCACGCGGGCGAAGCTGCGGGCGGAAAGCTAGTACTTAATAAACTCCAATACCTGGTTATTTACGGCCTCTAGAGCGGAATATAGTTCGCCCGGTCAGCTATACATATATTACTAATGACGAAATTAACGTGGACGAAGTCGAGGGCAAAAACTAGTATTTAATTAATCTGACAATGAGAAGACATTTTTTTCACAGATCTAATTAGATGACTTATATGTATAATGACATTTTTTTTAAAGACTAGAAAATGCAAGTTATCCTTCAAAAGTACTAGAATTTTCTTCTTTTTATGTAAAAAGGGGGGGAAACGGGCAAACTGCCTACCTAATAGAGGCAGTACCGTCGCCCATAGACATGTGTAAGATTTGCGAATGTTTTGCTTCCCTTGATTGGGGAAAGGGGGGAGGATAATATGGGAAAGGGAGGGAAAAGATAAGAGCAACCGGCTCTCTCACTAATCGGACGAAACGCAGCCATTAAAGACTACTTCACGCCGATCTTCTGTGAGAGGGTGGTACTTCCACGGTCGAGCTGCAGTAACTTGACCACAGCTAGGCTTTACCAACTCATAATATAATCTAAGATATATATATCTTCTAAGATATATGTCATGAAAATTGTAGTTTTTCTCCGAGATTCAATCTATGTGTTTAGCAGAGTTTTATAAAGTTCGGTTCGCTGTTAAAGCAAAAAACATAATGTACGTAAATTTCAGTCTTTTATGATAAATTAGTTAAAATTAAATTCATGCTTTGATCACCATTGTGATATTTTTCAAAGTTTAAAATAAATATTTCTTATTGTTATAGGATATTAAAGGAATGTATAATTTTTTGGATAATATTAGCTTTATTACATTATATTTTAATTGTGTTAGTTCAACAGAATGTTAAATTTTGTTGTAGAAAATATATAATAACTAGCTTTCCACCCGCAGCTTCGCCCGCGTGGAGTTCGGTTATATCGTGTTTACAAGAGAACCTTTCAAAAGTCTGAGATAAAAACTATCCTATGTTCTTTCTCAAGGTCAACTCTATGTCTGTATCAAATTTCATTAAAATCAGTTCAGTGGTGTAGGCGTTAAAGCGTAACAGACAGAAAGACAGAGTTACTTTCGCATTTATAATATTAGTAGGGATTGAGTAGTCTCGAAAACAATACTTGTATGGTATATACAATTGGTAATTTACAGCAACCGTGATCATAACACGACATGAGAGTTTCATAACCAACTTTTACGCAGTCGGTTAGTAAATAAAAAATATCCATAAAGTAATATATTTATATGAAAGTAAAATTCTATTAGTGATACAATCGAACATATGTTACACGGTTGAATAGTTTTTTAGTCTCTCGTATGGAAAAATAGCAATTTTTAAAATATAGGTAGGGGAAATTGGGGGAGATTACTGATTTTAATATTATCGTTCTTAATATATACTTGGAAACATTCTACCTGGCAATTTCCCAGCTATAGCCAGGGTCTGCCTTACATGTTGTGAATAGTTTTGGCTATTTATTTTTACGACCGGCCGCCTGCCTGACATCAACCCTCTTTTGGGAATCAGCATTAATCAGTGATGTCTAAATACTCTTAAAGTACATATGACTCGGAAAAATCACATTGGTACTTGCCAGGATCGAACCCGTGCCCTCGGCAACGAGAGGCGGACTATTTAACCACTAGGACACCACTGATTAAGCCCAATACGGACCAAGCCGCGGGTTATAGGTAGTCAAAAGCGTATACAGTAATACAAAAATATAAATTTGTATTATACAATATTTTTAATAATATTTTCCAACTGTAAAATGTTATTGAAATTTGAAACTGAACTGTAATAAACTGTAAGTGCAACTGAAAAATATTTTACAGTTTTTTTCGTAAACTCTATCAACTTTTCATTTGTTCGACTGTTTACATATAAATTAGCAATTTTTTACAATTATGTATGTATGATAATTTTAATGAATATATATTATAATAGTAATATTATGTAGTATCATATATATTATATATATTTCAAGATAATATGTCTGTTCATCCACACAATATATCGTGTCCACTTTATAGCTTTCACTGCATATATTTCAATGAAATTGTGTTACTGTTCGAGTTACAATTGTGTCTTTTCATTTAATGTCCATAAAATGAGAAAAAACTAATTATTTATGTGACATATGCTACATAAGAATTATATGTATTTTTTTGTACTTCTACCGAAATAACTTAGGAATTTAAATTACCGTCGATCTGTCAATTAAATTATTGTTGTATGTATATTATGTATATTTAGCTTTTTTTATTACATTAATTGTAATATTTGTATTCTTTCATTTATATATATATTAGTTTCCAAAAGAGGGTTGACGTCAGGCAGGCGGCCGGTCGTAAAAACAAATAGCCAAAACTATACACAACATGTAAGGCAGACCCTGGCTATATCTGGGAAATTGACAGATAGAAGAAGATATATATATACATATATATAGTAGGCGTCATGCTCAGTGGCATCGCCACATTTTTCATTCTGATCACACATAACGTAATTATCACGTAACCGTAGCATTTGTTTTCTAACATAGACGTAATAACTACGTTCCGTGAACGTGAAAATATACATCGGTTTTACGTGGTACATAGCTAGCGATTATAATAAAAAAAAATTAATAGTTTAGTCTCAAGTAAAGTTTGACAAGTTTTTTTTATATATATATTATATATTTTATTAAAGTAAGTATATATATTTGAGTTAAAATTGTCTAAATATATGTGTTAATTCTATGTATTAAAATATATAAGTATTTGTACATAATATGTAAGTACATGTACAATTGTTGAGAATGTTTTGTGATACAAAATTAATCTATAAGTAAATTAGTAATAAAATATTAAGTATTGTATGTATTTATAAATATGATATATGTTTATATATTCTGTACAAAATATTTCTACATATGACAAAATTTTATCGAAACGGTTTCTCATTTTTAAGAAGACAGATATCTGTTTCTAAAGCATATAATATATACTAGCTGACCCGGCGAACGTTGTTTTGCCATATAAAAAATAGGGTTTGGTGATAAAAAAGTAAAAATTTTGAGTTGTATGTATTTTTTTATGCTAAATTATAAAAAAATAAAAACAAAAAATTTCGTCCGAAAAAAAAATTAAAGGTGAACAACCTTTATGACTTAGGGGTATGAAAGATAGATGTTGGCCGATTCTCAGACCTAGTCAATATGCTCACAATATTTCATCAAAATCGGTTCAGCCGTTTCGCTGGAGTTCTCTGCCTAACACCGCGACACGAGTATGTTCGTTGCGTGACATTTAATGTGTAAGTATGTCTGTCCTTCCGTCAGTTATACTATTCCGCAAGTTAAATATTTAACGGAGTTATTTAACCGTGTTTTCCGTTGCATATCCGATACTACATTCTTTTTTCCTTAAATTTTATATTTTTAAAGATAGTTTTATCGTAAAGGGTTTATTAAAACTTTTTAGCACTTTTTTTAAATTTCTCTTTATATATTTTTTTTCACAGTGCTACAGTAATTATTTTTGTTTATATGCATGCATGCATAATATGTTCTTTATAAAAATGAAGCTGTTCGTTAGTCTTACTAAAACTCGAGAACAGCTGAACGGATTTATATTATCTTAGTGTTGAAATGTTCGTGGAGGTACAGGGAAGGTTTAAAAGGAAAACCCTAAAAACAGCCCTTTTCCCATACAAACGTTGTTTTGACATTAGATTTGACAACTAACTAATATGTCAATCATTCTGTTCGATTGAAACAGGAGAAAATTAATAAATACTAACACCTGGTTATTTAAGACGGAATAGAGTTCGCCCGGTCAGCTATATATATATATATTACTAATGACGAAATTAACGCGGACGAAGTCGCGGGCGAAGACTAGTATTTTATATAAATTTATACGTGCGTTAATTAGATGATTCTTATATTCTTTTATTACAATTCAATATTAATTAATGATGTTGGTTACATTATTTAACGGACCAGCTGTTAAACTGGCCGGTTCGTTAAATGGTCATGTATTGAGATACTAGATTTTGCCCGCGACTCTGTCTTCGTGAATAACAAAGTATATTAATATAGGAAAATCGCTACTTATTAAATGAAATTTAAACATTATACTAGCAAGCGTGAAGTACTTCATCGGGTTATTCAAAAAATTCCATTGCCCCACGGATATTGGACAAAAAGAAATCTGGTCCTCGTATAAAAAATTGGTTACAATGTTTGAGTTACGATGGTATAAACACACATACAAATATCAATTTCAAACTTATTGTATTCGTCTTTTAGCGACGTGGCTCAAAACTAATTATAAGTGTATCTATTACATAAACTTTAAGGCTTTTCTGTAAAGAATGAAGTTTAAAATATATTTTATCACATTTTCCTGTTGTATTTTGTATTGAAATAGTATATATATTTAATTTCTAAATATTCTTTGAAGGTCCGGGTCTTATAGACGAATTGGAGGCTTTTATGGCCCCCGTCGGCGAGGGTTGCTTCGGCCAGCCTATAGACGCGCGCCGCATTGGGTGAGTAATTTGTAACGATTGGAAAAAAAACATATACATACATACATACATTCATACATACATTCATACATATAGTTTTGAAAAACCTACCAAAATTTTGGATGTAATGTCGCTTTTTGTAAACCATTTTCGTAACGAATCTCTTGTTAGGAATCATTTCAGGAAAATTTATGTCACAAAAGTCCACAAAGCACTTGTATATATAGGTTTTTGCAAAGAGTATTGGCATTTTTTTGCTCAATCAATAAATATATCACCTTAGGGGCCACCAGCTACCTGAAAGTCCACCGGACTCCGGCTCCGAAAACCCATACAGCCCCGAGACCCAGGTCTCACACACCATAGCAGTGTCACAGACCGTGTTAGGCGCGGACTACATGCTGGTACCGGAACACATGACCTCTCATGAAATATTACAGCAGAACGGCGATTACATATACGAGGAATTGAAGAGTGATAGCATTGATCATGATGTTTTAAGGAATAACCTCAACGATGTAGTGGTTCTGCCGGCTGACCAGAATTTAGATTTGGGTATACGCAATGTCAGGCACGACTTGGGGCTGACTGAACCCATAGCGTATAATAGATACGGTCAAATGAGGGTGGAACTGCCGGAATTGGAGCAGGGTATATTGAATCCACAGCTGGTGTCTTTGGGCCATGAAAATTTGACACCGGTGTATGCGAACCTCCAGGAACCGAGCGCCAAGAAGAGGAAGCATTCTCAAGATGTGAACTCGCAAGTGAAGTGTGAACCAGGTAAATGAATATACTCTTTGTCAAAGAGAGCTATTATTATAATCTATCTATCTATCTATATATCTATATCTAATATCTTCTTGGGAATTGACAAGGGAATAGAGATGAAGCTATTTTTTTTTGTCTGATTGTTAATTGCTGTTTTAGAAGTATCTTTTCTTAATAGAGTTATAACGAACAGTCCCAAATGAATTTGATTAACAAAATTGAAGTGCTCATTTAATTATAGTTTATTAAATAAATTCTTGGAGTAATATCAAGGGGCACTTAATTTTTGTTGTAAAGAAATCGTTGGTCCAGAAATGTAATTTGTCGGAAGTAAAATTAAATTCTAATAGCGACAAAAACCAAAATGAATTAATAGCTAATTGAAAGCGATATTTCAGATTTGTTTCTTGCTTGAATGAGAATTTATTATAAAACTAGTTTTTGCCCGCTACTTCGTCCGCGTTAGTTTGGTCAAGAGTAATATATGTAGGTATAGCTGACCAGGCGAACTCTATTCCGTCTTAGAGGCCATAAATAATCAGGTTTTTCCTGTTTCAATCAAACAGAATGATTGACATATTAGTTAGTTGTCAAATCTAATGTCAAAAAAAAACGTTTGTATGGGAAATAGAAAAGGGCTGTTTTTAGGGTTCCCGGCAATTATTCCAATTTTTCTCACCTTTTAAACCTTCCCTGAACTTCCAGGAGTATTTCAAGACTAAAATTAGCCAAATCCGTTCAGCCGTTCTCGAGTTTTAGCGAGACTAAGGAACAGCAATCCATTTTTATATATATAGAAGATTTCTATTTTTTATTGACGTACACAAAAAATATAGAAGATATATTTAAAAAATATCCATAAGAAAACAAAAAATAACGTATCCTTTATGTATTGATTATTTAGCGCTGTCTTTTGCCTGTACTTATATTTTCATCTCAGAACATTCTGATATATCGATAATTCGATTCTTCTACAGCGGCATTATCTCCAGAGAGCGTAGCCCTCCCTCCTCCGTCAGTGGACGGGTCCGAGGCCGGCGATGACCCGCCACTCCAATGCATCAGATTCTCAGCCTTCCAGCAGAACGTCTGGTGTCCGCTATACGACTGCAACTTGAAGCCTATGTGAGTATAACAAATATTTAAATGACTCCCAAAAAAGTCATAAAGATCGTCCAAATTAAAATACTTGGTGGCCTAGTGGTTAAAGACCCGCCTCTCATGCACGAGGGCGGCGGTTCGACCCTGGCAAGTACAAATGTGATTGTTCCGAGTCATATGTACTTTATAAGAGTATTTAGACACCACTGACTGGTGAAAGAAAACATCGTGAGTAAACTTGGTTTTATAGTTTCACAATTATAAGTTTGAAATCGCCAACCCGTCTTGAGCAAGAATGGTGATTAATGCTCTAACCTTCTCCATGTGAGAAGACGCCTTTGCTCAGCTGTGGCTCTGAAAGGCTGATGATGAATTAAAATACTTATCATTTATCAAATTTAATCAAGCCATACTTTTATTTATTTATTTATTAGGTTTGCTAGCAGTTGTTACATTTTGATGATACAATTTATTAATTTTCATACTAATTACTCTCTAAATGTACAACTATATTAAGGAAACACGACTGTTTAAGTGGTTCTAATTTGACAAAAATGTAAAAATTGATCACATGGTAGGAAAAATTAATAATATTACAATTAAAATAAAGTTAAACAAATTCTTATAATTTAAAATAAATTGGTTATTTAGATTACAATATCATCAATATAATAAGGGGTAAAAGTATTCAACAATCAATCTAGTCAACACTTAGTCTAACCATAAAATACAACAATAAGAATTTATAATAATCTTAAAATTAAATTACATTATGGCATGCATTGATAACGAAAACAATTAAAATAATTTATTATTCAAGTATAAATATACAATTCATTTTCCCAAAGAGGGTTGATGTCAGGCAGGCGGCCGGTCGTAAAAACAATAAGCCAAAACTATTCACAACATGTCAGGCAGACCCTGGCTAAAGCTGGGAAGTTGCCAGGTAGAAGGAAGGAAATATACAATTCATCATTAATTATCATCATATGACGATGTTATAGAATTGAAATTATATTGTTCCATAAATAAAAAAAAAATATTATAATTTTACTTTTATCATATTTTCACTCAATATACTGTTTTTTATTCCAGTCTGAATACTTCGTATGTGGTTGGCGCTGACAAAGGCTTCAATTTCTCTCAAATAGACGAGGCCTTTGTTTGCCAGAAGAAGAACCATTTCCAAGTCACTTGCCAAATACAAGTGCAGGGAGAAGCTCAATACGTGAAAACTCCAGACGGATTCAAGAAGATTAATAACTTCTGCCTGCATTTCTACGGCGTTAAAGTAAGATTTTTTTTTAAATTACGTAATTATTTTTCATTAAATACTACCTGCGCCCAGCAGTGTTATTATGTTGATTATCAGGTCGAAAAATTTCCGGGATGTAAAGTAGCCTATGTGTTATTCCCGGACATCAGCTTCCTGTATATAAAATTTTATCAAAATCGCTTCAGCCGTTTGAGCGTGAAGAAGTAACATACACACACTCACAAACTTTCGCAATTATAATATTAGTAGGATAAATTGTTATATGTTTTATATAGTATATCTGTTCTGCTAATAATATAAGTATATTTATATATTTAAAGGCCGAGGACCCTAGCCAGGAGGTCAGAATTGAGCAGAGTCAATCAGACAGAACCAAAAAACCATTCCATCCAGTACCGTGAGTAAAGAAACTTTAAAAACATCGTAAAAACTCAACACTGACAGTCATGTAGTAACAAATATTTTGATACAGTAAAATGTGTATTAAATACTTAATCTAATCTGTTTAATTGGTGGTTAGCATCACAGATGTAACTATAAGTTTTCATTGAGGAGCAATTTTAATTAATAGTTGTTTTTGTTACATCAAAATAAGTCCACTTCCCTATTAAAACAGCAGTGGAAACTTAATTAGCATAAGTGTTAAAATATGATTATTATATTAAGTTGTAATATACGATATGCTGTATGTTTCCCTAGTAATAAATAAATAAATTTTCAGTTCACTAATGGTATGTTTCTAGGAAGTATAGAAACTTATTGACGTATGAATACATCATACATAATAAGCCTTAAATTATACAATACAATCAAATAAATTTAAAATAATAACCACTCTAATCTGATCTCTGATCATTAAGTTAGTCATATTATATCAGGTTCTACTTATAATGGTTTTGTCTAGAGTGGATATTCGTCGCGAGGGGGCCAAGGTCACAGTAGGTCGTCTCCATTTCGCTGAAACAACGAACAATAATATGAGGAAGAAAGGTCGCCCCAATCCTGACCAAAGACACTTCCAACTGGTCGTAGCTTTGAGGGCCCACGTCGCACACAACGACTATATAGTCGCGGCTCAAGCTAGTGATAGGATTATTGTCAGGGTGAGTAGATAATATTTTTGGTAACATACACATCGGTATAATAAACTTTGGTAACGGTACACGTCGGTATAATACATTTTGGTAACATTATACGTCGGTATAATAGATTTTGTTAACATTATACGTCGGTATAAAACATTTTGGTAATAGTACACGATGTTATAATATATTTTGGTAGCAGTACACGATGGTATAATACATTTTGGTAATAATACACGATCGTATAATAGATTTTGGTAACAGTACACGACGGCATAATAGATTTTAGTAACATTATACGTCGGTATAAAACATTTTGGTAACAGTACACGAAAGTATACATCAAGTGCAAATTCCATAGAGTTTATTATGATACTGATCTCCTCAATGTGTGGGCGCTACTGGCCTAAAGGGGAGCGGTAAATAAATTGTATATATGTGTATGTGTAGTATAAATTATAGAGGTTTTTCACTAGGTGATAATATGGGGCGCTAAGAAATAATTTATTCTCAAAATGGGTATCAGACAAAGAAAGTTGGGAATCACTGTAGTAGAAAGACATGATGATATCTGAACAGATTTCATTTTAATATAATATTATTAAGATTATACATATGATCATCGGATTTTTAAAATTAAACTTACTTATATACATACAAGTATATAAGTAAAACTAATTCATTATAAGGAAAGTACTTTATAATTAACTTTTAAACATCCAGGCATCGAACCCGGGACAGTTCGAGTCGGATTGCACTGAAAGCTGGTGGCAGAGAGGAGTGGCTGAGAACAGTGTTCATTATAATGGCAGAGTTGGCATTAACACCGACCGGCCAGACGAGGCCTGCGTTATAAATGGTTAGTGTATTATATTAGAGCTCAAGTTATACTGGTTGAGATGCTTTAAAGCATCAGAAATATTGGTTTTACATACAAAAGTTAGACCTATGTCAATTATGGAGAATCGTTTTATGGGAGGTCAAGATATTCTGGTGCTCATCCTTATAAAGTTTAATATTATTTATATTGTACAGGTTTTTCTGTTGTCTTTTATAAACACTTTTAACTAGTTAGCTGATATTTCATATGTTATAATAATCAAACAATAACTATATAAAAAGTCCATTAATTATTTTTTTATTATAACAAAAATATGTAATTAAATATAAAATTTTCAATAAAATGTAGATAAAGTTTTTAAAATTCAATGCAATGTTGAATACTTGAAAATATAATATATAACCCAATATATCACTAACGTCAATGGACACTATAGTTCAAATGTTAAAGTGACTTGCGCGATGTAACGATGTACTAAGTTCGAATCGTTATAAATTGTTAATCATATATTATTTATATAATATTATTATATCCCTACTAATATTATAAATGCGAAAGTAACTCTGTCTATCTGTTACGCTTTCACGTCTAAACAACTGAACTGATTTTAATGAAATTTGGTACAGATATAGAGTTGACCTTGAGAACGAATATAGGACAGTTTTTATCCCAGACATTTGAAAGGTTCTCTTGGAAACGCGATATAACCGAACTCCACGCGGGCGAAGCTGCGGGCGGAAAGCTAGTATTCTATATATGTGTATATATTTTACAGGGAATCTTAAAGTTATGGGTCACATAGTACATCCGTCTGATGCGAGGGCGAAACACAATATTGAAGAATTGGATACAGCGCAGCAACTAAGAAATGTGCAGAGCATACGAGTTGTTAAGTGAGTATCATATACAGGGTGCTCACTTTAATGTATATTGAACACCCTGTATATCGATGGGTCCTAAGTATAGAGCCAATGTAGCAATTTAGACATTATCATTATTTTTTTGCTTCAAACACTTCATAATACTGTTTTCTACAACATCCATTTAAAAAAAATGTGTATTTGTTGGTGGAAAGATTTATATGTATTTTTATTGCATTAAAAATCATAAGTAACGTACTGTTAAATGTATAAGGGCCTATATACATTATATTAAAAACTATTAGGTTAACAAAACAGTGTATCAATCTTAAATGTCGTACATGTATGTCACAGTTGATATACAAATATCAAAAGCATCAGTTGTATGTACAATACATTGACATCAAACATACAACGTCTCTACTGAACAATTGTCATTTGCACATTGGCATATACATAGGAGACATATATAAACCGTCATACTTCCAGATTTCATTACGACCCGTCTTTCGCCCACCATACTGGCATGGCGGGTCACGCCGCGGTCCCTGACACCGGCGTACTAGCTCAAGAGGTCAGAGAGGTCATTCCTGACGCGGTCAAAGAGGCTGGTGACGTCACACTCGCAAATGGCGACAGGATACGGAAGTTCCTCGTCGTTAATAAGGTAATATACATCATGAGCCTATCAGAGCCCACTGCTGGGCTTCTTCTCACATGGAGAAGGTTTGAGCATTAATCACCAATCACCACGCTTGCTCAAGACGGGTTGGTGATTTCAAACTTATAATTTGATATAACTCCATGTTTCCTCACGTTTTCCTTCATCAGTCAGTGATGTCTAAATACTCTTAAAGTATATATGACTCGGAACAATCATACTGATACTTAGCATAGATACATAACTCAATCTATGGAACCGTAAATATTATTAATTTAGTTTTATTCTCTCCCAAAATCAATATTGAGTTAATAAATTAATGAAATTTCAGAGCTGTGATAGCTCAGTTAGTAAGATGACTGAAGCAATATCTCTTCTACCTGGCAATTTCCCAGCTATAGCCAGGGTCTTCCTTACATGTTGTGTATAGTTTTGGCTATTTGTTTTTACGACCGGCCGCCTGCCCGACATCAACCCTTTTTTTTTGGGAATTAACATTAATCAGTGATGTCTAAATACTCTTATAAAGTACATATGACTCGGAAAAATCACATTGGTACTTGCCCGGGCCAGGATCGAACCCGCGTCCTCGGCAACGAGAAGCGGGCCTTTTAACTACTAGGCCACCACTGACTTATGACTGAAGCAATATATTATTATAAATTCCTAATGTATCAGGTTCAAATCCTAAGTAATACTTTATTCGAGTGTTATTTTAATATATTTTATATAATAAACTATTTTTTATGTACTTCTTAGATATTTAAATGTATTTAGCATTGAGTTGTCTTTATCATTTCTTGTGAAATGCTTCTACACATAATTTTTATTGTATGACCGACAACATGAAGAAAAATATACAAAATAATCATATATATGATATTGTTGTATCATAAAAATATATTTAAAACTCCTTTCTATTATGAAAATTACAATAATTATATACAATCTTCTTCTTCTGCCTGGTAATTTCCCAGTCAGTCAGGGTCTGCCAAATAATTATATATAATGAAAGTTAATATATTAAAATATAATTGTTTTCTAGGATCGCATTTTCATGGAGAATCTTGGAGCTGTGAAGGAATTGTGTAAGGTGACAGGGAACTTGGAGACAAGGATCGATCAGCTCGAAAGACTCACTAGAAGACGGACGACTAGACATGATAGTGCTATCAGTAATGGTCAGTATATATATCGGATATATAAAATTAAATATAACGCCATCTGTTATTCGATGGCGGAGTTATTTGGGAGTTAAAATCATTTGTTTCGACAGTAGCGCCATCTGTTATTCGATGGCAGAGTTATTTGGAAGTTGTAATAATTTATTTTGACAGTAGCGCCAACTGTTATCCAAGGAAATGGAATGGAAGTAAATTATAAATACAACGCCTACATCTTGTGCCTCAGAAGAACACATGGATACATTTAAAATATTTGATACTAAAATTATTTGTATGAGCAACTTGAAAAACAACGATTTTGAAACATACATATTTAAAACCTTTTTGTTTTGTTACAGATTCACGTGTGTCCATAACGTCTTCGAGATCATTTTACAGCGACGGGAACATTTCCATCGATCAAATTAGAGACATCGCACGCAGCATCCGCAAACACGAGTGTTGCCACAAACTGAGCCACAAATCCCCGAAATTCACCCGGAAACAATGCAAAAACTGTCACACGAATTACACTAAATATGGCAAATATTACAACTACAATAAAACGTGCATCAGGAATAAAGAAATGAAGGATAATGAACAACCGTATCCGGAATATATTAGTACGGAACAGAAGTTGCAAGAAGATAATTATACGGTGACGAAAAAGAAGGATTCGTGTCTATGGTTGAGGGATGACGAAAGTTATCAACATGGCAACACTAAGTTGCCGTTCTGCTGCAGAAGGAAATACAGATATGGAGACAGTGGGGAGTTGATATCAAATAAATTCCTACAAATCGTTATCACTATACTAATATTCGTCATGGCTATCTGGTGAGTTCAGTGTGTTTTAAAAAAAAACTATTAGGTTACATAAGAGTGTATCAATCTTAAATGACGTACATGTATGTCATAGTTGATATACAAAGTATCAAAAGCATAAGTTGTATGTACAATACATTGATATCAAACTTACAACGTCTCTACTGAACAATTGTCATTTGCACATTGCCGTATAGGAGCCATCAAATAATTATTTTCTACTTATTTCTATATACTTATATTAGATCTAGTTTTATTTTTTATATTAGTTCTCTCGATGGACAACAGATGGCGTGTATAATAAATAATATTTCAATTATAAATTTCTATAATTCGTTCCACAGCTTAGTGGCTATGTCAGCGTTGTACTTCAGAGAGCATCGCGAGCTTGTGTCTTTGAGAGAGAGACGAGTAACGCCGCGGACAACGAAACATAATACTATACAGGTAAGGAGATATACAAGAACAAACATACATATATATCTCAAATTATGGTCACAATATTATTTTATTGCAAATTATTTGTCTATTAAAGATAAATTATTTGTCATTATTACAAGTATCTGTTGACTGAGTTAAGTATTCAATAGACGGCGCTATGTTAAAAATACAAACGTCATATATGAGCGACTATTTAATAATTTCTTGATTATAGAGCGATACGAAGTTCGCCGGGTCTTCTACATAGTATATATATACTATGTTACATATTCTAACAGACAAACATAAACGACATATAAGTAGATAGATAATTAAGAATCACCGGGGAAAAACCTATCTGTTATATATATATTAGTACAGAGAGATTTGAGCCCCACATTTAAAAATTAAATTAAATTTCATATGATATATAATTAATTGTTAAAGTTAATTTAAATATCTAATCACATACAAGATATTTATTTTGTCTGATGTTTGCGCTTGTTTCATTGCATTTCCTTATATGAGAATGTGATCATGATTTTTATATGTAATAATTTTTCATAATAATAATAATTATTAGTACTATAAAATAATTATCTAACGTGTAATATAATTTCGTTTCCAGAATCTTAAGATATCACAGCACATGGTCGTCAAGAAAACAGCTAAAGGTTTGTGTGAATACAAATAAAATACGAAAAGAAAATAATTTTAGACTGATATGTTAAGCAACGTCTGTAACTGTCGTAACTTGGATGGGTGACCGCATTTTTTTACTAAAACACCGACGAGTTACAATCTGCGTGATTTGATTAAATAAATGAATGAATGAATGTTCAGAACGCATTATGGTAGGAAAGCATGTAAGCCATAACACTAATTTTGGTTTTTGGATGATTTACTTAGACCACAACGCGTCGCAAGCTATTTCTTTTGCTCAATGAGCACTTGTATCTTTGATATATTTACAATGTAAACGTTAATCAAAAATTTTGACTATCTATTGTAATAATTCATATTTTTTTTTGTTTGATTCAATAAATTATCCTTATAAATATCACTCGTTAAAATTATCAGGTAATTAGTTTCAACTCCAAAGTCACATTTACCCCATAATGTGTTTTTATCATTTCAGAGAAAGCCCCATACAAAGTTTCCCCGCAGTATGTAACTTCATCAGAACCTCCGACTACCTTCACTACACGGAACTACGTGAAGACATTAAGCAGTGAGTGACATACATGATACATGCCTACTAATATTATAAATGCAAAAGTAACTCTATCTGTTTGTTACGCTTTCATGCCTAAACCACTGAACTGATTTTAATGAAATTTGGTACAGATATAGAGTTGACCTTGAGAAAGAACATAGGATAGTTTTTATGCCAGATTTTTGAAAGGTTCTCTTGGAAACGCGACAAAACCGAACTCCACGCGGGCGAAGCTGCGGGTGGAGGGCTAGTAAATAGAATAGTATATATATATATATATAGTTTATTTCAATAGATATTGACAATCTTGTGAACAAACATGATCAAATGATATTTACAGAGACTTGTCTATGCCCCTAGTAATGTGAGCACTCTTCAAGATATTTTAATCCTAATTATTATATTAAAATATTAATATAAAACAATTACTTCAGTTTGTTCATATTTTGTTTAATATTAGTGAGCTTTTTTTAAGTACATAATTTAGAAATGCAGAATGCTAACGGGAATACAGAATTGTTTGTGTCCCAATAGCACTAAAAATTCTTAGTTATTTAATAATGAAAAGATTGTTAAAAACAGTGGTTGGTTCATTGAGATGTAATTATTATCAGAATTGATATTCAATTGTACGTAAGAACGAAGTAATCGTGGTCAGTTGCTTTGTTTACAAGATTGACAATTTCTATTGAAATGGACTATATATATATTCTTCTACCTTGCAATTTCCCAGCTTTAGCCAGGGTCTGCCGTACATGTTGTGAATAGTTTTAGCTAATTGTCTTTACGACCGGCCGCCTGCCTGACATCAACCCTCTTTGGGAATGCATTAATCAGTGATGTCTAAATACTCTTAAGTACATATGACTCGGAAAAATCACATTGGTACTTGCCAGCATCGAACCCGCGCCTTCATGCATGACAGGCGGGCCTTTTAACCACTAGGACATTACTGACTTAAATGGACTATATATATAATCACCAAAATTACAAGTTCATATTAATTGTTAAATTCTTTGTATGTTATTAATGTGTTTAGTTCCAGAAGTTGTGTTTATATTTCCAGGTCCTACAGATGTTCCGTCGTTATTTCGTTCAGCGGCGACCATCGGCGGCTGCGTTTCTTCAAACACTGATAATGAACTGGATTCTGGTTGTCAAGTTAGTATATACTGTTTTTTATACGATGAGTGTTAGTACTTGTAGGTAGAGCCTAGCTGTGGTCATACAACTCGATCGGGGAAATACCGACCTCTCACAGAAGATCGGCGTGAAGTAGTCTTTAATTCGTTTTGTCCGATGAGTGAGAGAGACGATATTTTATCTCTTTCCCTCGATTTCCTCTCTCTTTCCCACAATCAAGGATTTCAACGCATCTGAAACATCCCTTATATTACGACTTCAATTCCAATCTAATTTATGATAAGAACACAAAATAACATAGTAGGGTTATTATCAAGTAAGAAAGGGCAAGATGCGGATATATTGAAGTCTTTTATTCGGCAAGACGAGAATGATAAATATAAGATCCATGCAATGAATTTAGAAATGCAGAACGCATGGTAAGACATGGGAGATTTTTGAGAACGCTAAAATGGCGCACCCTAATTCATGACTGGTCGCCAGTATTGTAAAAATTTTATCTCAATGCGTTCCAGATGACTCTCCCAGATCAGAGTAATATCGTGAGAATTCGCGAATTTTTAAAGCACTTGCGTTAATAGAACTTACGGTCCCTTGGGAAACCAACATCCCCAAAGACCATACCATCAAGGTCAACAAATATTACGAGCTCACAAACGAACTAACTAGGAATAGGTTCTTCGTGGCTTTGTACGCGGTAGAGGTGGGAGCGAGAGGTATAACAGATAAATCTATTTATAACCTACTAAAAGACTTGGGCCTGTCCAGAACTAATATCAATTCATTGTTGGAAAGTACGTCGAAGACAGTCCTAGTAGTTTCTTTTCAAATTTATTAGGTAGAGAGAGGAGCTTGGACGGTGGAGGTGAGCGTTTAACGCGTTAGTTAACCCTTATACCTACACCTGGGTCGCAAGTCACAGTCACTGTTGAAGCTCCTCTCACTACAACGATGCTTCATATTTATATATAGAGTTTTTTATATGACACTCAAACAGGATAGTGTTCAGTTTTATACCGACGAACGAACATACAATTTGATGTTTACAAACATATATATATAAAAATAAATGTTATTTTCCACGCGAACCTCACAAGGACGTAGAAGTAATATCGCAACGGATATTACACACACTGGTAAGATAATAATATATATATGTATTAGTATATAATTTTATATACAGGGTGACTGGTGAATTACTATCAATATTTAAGGAGAATACTCGGTACATGATTCTCATTCGAATTATGTAAAAAAATAGGTACTTAATTTTTGACCAAATTTCCGTATAAATAAATAAAGTGTGGACACGTTCCAAGTGTTCCAAGTGTGGACGCGTGCGGCGGCGTGCTGATACAACATCACGCCGCCGTACGCGCGTGTGTGTGAGTGTATGTGTACCTAATCTGTAGGGTGTTCACACGATGCGTAATTAATTATATAACTTTTGGTTACCATTAATCAGAAGTTTATTAATATTTATGTTATATTAATTTTTATTTTGTCATATATGATCGTCAAATATCACGTCCTCAAATATCGATAGTAATTCACCAGTCACCCTGTACATTAACTGCCTGACCCGGCAAATGATGTTACGCCATACAAGAAAAATAGGGGTTGGTAGTAAAAATGTAAAAATTTTGGTTTGTACGTTATAAAAATAAAAGCAAAAAGGTTCGTTCTTAAATTCAAAAAATATATAGGAGTGAATAACTTTATCATATGAAAAAGATAGTAACCGATTGTCAGACCTACTGAATATGTATATAAGATTTGATAAAATCGGTGAAGCCCATTCCCAGAAGTACGGTAACTAATATTGTGATAAGGGAATTATTCCTACTAATATTATAAATGTGAAAGTAACTCCGTCTGTCTGTTACGCTCTCACGCCTAAACCACTGAACTGATTTTAATGAAATTTGGTACAGACATAGAGTTGACCTTGAGAAAGAACATAGGATAGTTTTTATCGCAGACTTTTGAAAGGTTCTCTTGGAAACGCGATATAACCGAACTAAACGCGGGCGAAGCTGCTGGCGGAAAGCTAGTTATATATATTTAAAAACATATTAGATTAATTCCTTGTTTTTTCCAGTCATCATGTTCGGATGCGTCCCAAATCTTCAACAGCCAGCCGCTAGAGGGCATCAGGATTGATGAAGAAGACAAACAGAACGACACACGCACAGAGAGGAAGATTCTCACGCCGGTGATGACGGAGAATAATTACCTGGAGAAGAATTATTTGGAGAAGAATGAAACAAGGGTTAGACGAGCAGCGGATACGGATGAGACGCAACGAAGCCGTGAGGAAATGGCGTTGGAGGGCGGAATGGAAGGGGAAGAAGGTAACAAAGAAAGTTTTTATGTGACACACGTAGTTAGGTATACAGAAAAAACAAAGAAAATTACAAATTAAAAAATAAACATCGAAATAAAATAAAACTTATGACTAATTAATTATAATATACACTACACCAAACACAAAAAAAAATTAAAGTGGAAGGGGACATATAAATCAGCTGTTTCATAATCATTGTATTGTATTACATACTATGTATACATTCATCGCATTTAGATAAGATGATTTTTAAAATGATTCGTTGCGTATATATTTAGTATAAACACACACACACACACACACAAACAAATTCAAAACATATGTTTAAGAACAGTATTTATACCCACCTTAAATTGTTTATCTCGTATGAAATAATTAATATTTTGTATTGTATAAACTATTTCACGTTGAGACTTGAGACGCTTTTCAAATTTATGTTATAATAGTGTAATCCTATTTTTGTCATAATTTTTGCATTATATTGTAAAATTTTATAACATATTGTAACACTGTTGGATTGCCAAATGAAACAATAAATAAATAAATAAAACTACCGTCGTGATGTATGTTAAAGTTTGTTGCGGGTTATCATTAAAATTGATGAACGGATTTCAGTGAAACTATTTTATAATGTAGATAATATATCGGAATGGGATATGGACACTGATTTATAACATACTAGCTTTCCACCCTCAGCTTCGCCCGCGTGGAGTTCGGTTATATCGCGTTTCCAAGAGAACCTTTCAAAAGTCTGGCATAAAAACTATCCTATGTTCTTTCTCAAGGTCAACTCTATGTCTGTACCAAATTTCATTTAAATCAGTTCAGTGGTTTAGGCGTGAAAGCGTAACAGACAGACAGACAGAGTTACTTTCGCATTTATAATATTAGTAGGGATTTTTATATATAACATATATTTTTACAGAATGCGACACTATAACCTTGGGCGTTGTTAGCAAGACTCATACAAACACGAGCGTATTCAGCGAGCGTGTGTGTGTTCGTGTGTTACGGAATTATACATACACTATGCCAGTGTCTCCTTGCCTGCAGCAGAAATACTTGGATGTGGTGTTCAGGTGAGGTTTACTATATTACAGCTCTTAATAGTGAATTAAACTTGATATAGAAATTCAAATCGTGGTGGCCTAGTGGTTAAAGGTCCGCCTGTCATGCATGAAGCCGCGGGTTCGATCCTGGCAAGTACCAATGTGATTGTTCCGAGTCATATGTACTTTATAAGAGTATAGACACTACTGACTGATGAAGGAAAACATCGCGAGGAAACATGGAGTTATATCAAATTATAAGTTTGAAATCACCAACCCGTCTTGAGCGAGCGTATTGATTAATACTCTAACCTTCTCCATGTGAGAAGAGGCAACTCAGCAGTGAGCTCTGATGGGCTGATGATGATATAGAAATTGTGTAAAAAAAGTTTTGGTTCTTACTTAAATTATATATACATACATTAATCTGATATGAATACTTGATTGATTTACTTTATTGATTGATTGATATGATTATGAATACATTGAATATAACGACACACTGTCTCCACGCGTGTAATCTGTTATTGTATATGAGAGAAAGAGACGGAAGATTCAGAGGCGTTACGCGTTACGTTACGAAACTGACTACCCTCATGAGTTACACTTGAAAAATTAAACTATCAATTAATTGAACATTTTAGCTATTTTATAACGCTAAAATCTATAATTCTATACATATAACGCTAAAGCCTTATTATTTTATCTAAATTCGATCCAATGTGATCCAAATTCCTCCTAATTCCTTCCAGGTCAACAAAATTGCGGGAGGTTCGTCTTTGTGACCTGCAGTGCAAGTCAGAATCAATGAAGACCTGCCAGCTGGAACGAGAGTCATCAAAACCTGTTCCCTCTGGAGATACTTGGACGGCGAGGGTCGGACTTAGATGTAGATTGGATAGGTGGATGAAAATAAGAGCCGGATTTGTACCTCTCAAGGTGATAACGATTTGCTTATATATATTTATATACAGGGTGACTGGTGAATTACTATCGATACTTGAGGACGTGATATTTGACGATCATATATGACAAAATAAAAATTAATATAACATAAATATTAATAAACTTCTAAGTAAAGTTAACCAAAAGTTATGTAATTAATTACGCATCGTGTGAACACCCTACAGATTAGGTATACACATACACTCACACATACGCGTGCGGCGACGTGGTGTTCTATCAGCACGGCGCCGCACGCGTCCACACTTGTAACACTTGGAACGTGTCAACACTTTATTTATTTATACGGAAATTTTGTCAAAAATTAAGTGCCTATTTTTTTACATAATTCGAATGAGAATCATGTACCGAGTATTCTCCTTAAATATCGATAGTAATTCACCAGTCACCCTGTATAACGATTTGCTTATTCAACTTATAGTCCAGTTAACACTTTAACGATAAGGAGTGGACAGTGGAAAAACAAAATTGATGATGGTTAAAGTATATAATAGAAGTAAAAACATATGTATATAAATATATATTTGTCTGTCTATTGATAATAATAAAAGTAGCCTGAATGAAAAAATTCGACCGGTGGATGAAATTTCGGTTAAAAAAAATAATAAAATCGTGGTGGTGAAAATATCGCCTCTAACTTATAAAGGGTTAAAATATATTATTATAAAGCGCCGTGTACACTTACACAAAGTCACGATATCTCGAAAGCGATGTATTGTACAAGAAAAGTGTTGAGTATTTTTTTGTAGATAATTTTACGATCTACAAACTTGGTCTGAACCATTTTTGGATAGCTCTCGTTGTTTTATAGATATACCCAAAAAAACACAAATTTGTGATCTTTGACCTCGAATAAAAAACAACGCAAAAGGGATCGATGGGGACTTTTGACCTATTATTAGTAATGACGTATTCAAGGATCGCACAAAAACCCACCTTGTTTTGAATTAATACAAACTGGAATGTCTATTTTGATTGGACTATAGAAAGATTGAATTGATGAATATTGAAACTAGATTAATGTAGAGTTTCATTAAAATCTGCTTAATGTATTTCATATGATCGTACAATATGTGAAATTCATAATATCAGTGTAATTTTATCCACAATGTATTTTATAATAAGTATGAGTGTAAATTTTTGTTTTACCATTTTATAACTCAACCGCTGAACCAATTTTAATGTGATTCATTTTATAAGGTATATGTGATTTTGGAGATGAAAGTAGTTTTCTTTCTTTGAATTAATTAATATTTTAAATAATTACAATACCTCAAAGATTTTATGAAAAATTTTTGTGACGACAATTTATTGAGTGCAACAAAAAGAGTGCGTGCGTGCGTGCGTGCGTGCATGGTGAAACAGAATAAATAATCTATAATCTAATATATCTCTTCTATCTCTTCACAGGACCTGTGCTATCTCAACCCAGAAGACAAAATACCCTTCGTTGAGTTCAACATACACATATATAGAGATTGTAGGAACTAATACATTATGTACATATAATATATATGTAATTGAATTATGAATCGTCCGTCCAATATCATTCATTCCAACATAGCTTTAACTATTATAGATAATATATTTTTTTAACATGCATTATTGGTGGTAGCCATTTTGTTTTTTTGTTTTTTTTAATATTTTATTCAGTCAAAGGTACCGGTTGAAAATATATTGTCATTAATTTTTTTATTTACACATTAGTATGTGTGTTTACTATGAGTTTTTTCGTCAAACTTGATTGATATAGTTTACACTTTAAACTGTCTGTATTAGTGTATCGTGGTAAGCTTCTTTTAAATATATAGACTAGTATTTTACACATTATTATAACATTTGTTATTTATCTTTTTATATAGTTTTTGTTTGTTTTTTAAATTTTTTACCAATTCTATGCCTCTCTTCTCCATTCCATGCCAGTACTTAAGATATTTTGCACAATAATTCAATTTATTACTAACATATATGAAATTAAATTAAATATAATTTTCTTTACTATTAATATACATTTAATATAATTGATAGTTTTAATGTTATTATATGATAATTTTTCCTATTCGAATCTCACAAATAGATTATCTTGGATAGATTTCAATGTAAGCTATTTTAAATTTAATTAGATATAAAAACATCACATTATATTTTAGTATTAAATTTTATTATTAGATATTTTTTTTGTAGATTTCTTGCCATATTCATTTTTTCATATAATTTTTATTTAATTTTTGAATTTATTTTATTTTAAGGTAATGTATTTTTTTTATATATTGTCATATTTTGTTATCTATAATTCTTTTAGATGTATCTAGATAATATTAGATTATAATCTATGATAGTAAGAAATAAATTTAATTGTAGAAAATATATTTGGTTTTATTTTGTGTACACTAGCTTTTTCCCGTGGATTCTTTTGAGATTCTTGATATAAAAAATATAAATAATGACTTATGGGATTATATGAAAATAACTTGAGGCTGTCATTATTATTATTATAAAAACTCATTATTATTCATGATTATTGTTAAAAGTAAGACGAAATCAAAGATTGTTTAAAAGGAGAATAGAACTATGTTTGAATCTTGGTGTAAATATGACGTCTGGACGCACGACGGCATAGTTTAGTAAGTGCGGGGCATTGAAGAATATAGAACCTTCTAGAAATACAATAATATTGAGAGTTGAAGTTTCATTTCAATTTGCATAGTTTTTTTTTTTTAATATTAATTAGATATATTTTTTACCACAATATTCACAATATTGCCATCTGACCTCTTACTTGTTTTGCTTATTTTGTTTTTAATCGAGAATAACTTTAGCACTTGTGTCATGTATATATTTAAAATAAAATAATATTGAATTCTAAATTGTTTTTTTGTCTAACTCTACTTTACTTTCACTCACACAAATGCAAAGCTCAGCTTAAGTCTAACGGACTGTACCTACTTAGTATATATATTAACATAAAATTTGTTTATTCTAAAATATTTGCTCAAAAACAAATGAACAAAGTACTCGACAGTAAGCCCAGGCTATACGTACATTGCTAAAGATTTACGTTCCACGCTTTTTTTATTGCGAAGACATTTATTACTGTTTCATATGACAAGAGTTCCAATCGTCCAATCGTCAAAATCGCTAGACTAGACAATCTTTCTTGAATCGTCGAGCCCAGGTTTTATGAATTTGAGTTCACTGAATGATCTCTTGCAAGAAGCTGCAGTAACTGACATCGTTCAAAATTTCTTTATAAGTCTATAGCGACTGCTACTAGGGAAAAATTTCTCTTAAATTCAGTTCAACTATTGGTAAGTACAATTACTGCCGCCTGGTGTTTAAAACTAAAACTAGCGTAAACGGTAAATGGGGCAGCTGTCAAAAAGCTATTGGTGATTATATTGTTATAGTGAACATTAATTCGCTATTATTTAATTTTTTTATTCTTAATTATAGTTGAATAAAAAAATAAAGTTGATTTTCAAAATAATGGTGATGATTTAGGTGTACGTTTAGATTCAAAAGAAACAAAAAGTAAAGCTTATTGCTGTGTTTATGGATGTAAGAGTAAATTTGACGAGACTTTCATGTCAAGAAGAAAAAGTAGATGGTAGAAAAATGTGGCAAATTGTTTTAAAAATTGGCAAAAATATTACTGATCACATTCAAGTTTGTTCTTTACATTTTTAGAAGTCAGATTATTTTTTACCAGGTGATTATTTTTGTTAAGAAACTTTTATATTTATAAAATAAAAGGTAAAAATCTCTTTATTATTTAGCTGTGGGTTCCATAAACAAAGATTAAAACAAAATGGTATACGAGTTTGAAGCAAGTCAAATCGTTACTAAAAAAAGGAAATATGATTTATTGAGCTTAGTAGTAAAAATAAAACAATAAAAAAATATATTCAATAATTAAATCCTACCGTGAACAAAATATCAATGTGTTTACATTTTTGACCCTTTCCTGCTGTATAACTACACTCGGAGGAAATAACCTTAGCAGTTTTACTAATTACTGTTGTTATTTCGTGAGGATAACCCCGAGTATTGGACGATTGCATGTCATAAGACAATAATTCATATTGTTCATCCTTTAAGATCCCAGTGTAAATTAAATGATTGCAATTCACTACTTGCTCGCCTTCAAGAAAACATCGGCTACTTGTTGTACCCTCTAAATGATCCAAGACTTCACACATTGATAGAAACATTTTGTTTTTGTTAATAGAACTCAACGTGCTTTGAATCAATTTAAAAAAATAATTGATAATACTTAAGAAACGGATTTTTTACAAACTTGCATTTGACATTCATCAGGCGACCCGTTTTTGCTGGTTCAAGATAAAACTACCAGTTGGCGTGTTTGCAACACCCACTTACCAATAGCTTTGAGAAGACCCATACTTGACTCTTCTTCCTGGCAACCTCCCAGCTTTGACCAGGGTCTGACTTATATTTGACTAACATTCACATTTATCTAATAATGTATGCTTAACTTGACTCTTCAAAGTTTCTATTAGGGATCAAAATTCAACAAAATAACTGATGCTCGAATCAGCTGCCTGCTTTTTAGTTCTACAAAATGCAGCAATGTGTTTTAAGGTCAAAAAAAGAGTTTTTTGTCGCGCAGTTTTTCGATTCGCCATTTTAATGATTGTATACTGTAGAACTACATTCACTTTCTCGATAGATTCCAAATTTTTGTACAAAATATGGAGAGTGCATATGAATTTATGATTAATTTGGTCCATTATGATTTTAGCTGTGGATATTGTTACAGGATTGTAATCATTGGTAGTTTGAATCTTGAATCATAACAGATTTGGCGTATTCGCGCGTTTATATCTTTAGAGGCCCATTTAGTATCAGAGTAAATCAGTGGTGGCTCAGTGGTTAAAGGGCCCGCCTCTCGGCCTCTCGTCGCCGAGGGCGCGGGTTTGATCCTGACCCGGGCAAGTACCAATGTGATTTTTCCGAATCATATGTACTTTCTAAGACTATTTAGACATGACTGATTAATGTTGATTCCCAAAAGAGGGTTGATGTCAGGCAGGCGGCCGGTCGTAAAAACAAATAGCCAAAAACTATTCATAACATGTAAGGCAGACCCTGGCTATAGCTGGGAAATTGCCAGGTAGAAGAAGAAGAAGATTTAGTATCGGAGTGTTTTTTCAAACAAATAATTAAAATTTTCATAAAGTTTCCCATCTGACAGTTGAACTCGAAAAAAACAAATATTTTCTAGATTATTCCAAAAAATGTGATTGTCAGATGTGATACTAGCAGAAAGAAATAAAATATCATCATCATCAGCCTATCAGAGCTCACTGCTGAGCAAAAGCAATCTTCTCACATGGAGAAGGTTTGAGCATTAATCACCACGCTTGCTCAAGACGGGTTGGTGATTTCAAACTTATAATTTGATATTATAAGTCCAGGTTTCCTCACGATTTCCTTCACCGTATGTATGAAAAAAAATACAAAGAATGCACAGTACACGGCATATAATCAGCATTTCCATTAATTTGTTTTATTTTGGCTTTAACTTTGTTATATTTACCAGACATATTACTACTATTGTCGTAGCCTTGGCCACGAAGATCTTGAATGAAACCGACTATCCATACCTATCTTTACATTTGTTTTGCAACAAAAATGCGAAATATACAGGGTTACAGGTTAAATCGACCGAAATCCTTTAAAAGAAGATATATTCCATCATTACTAACCGATTTGACTATGGGACCCCATATACTAAACCTAACCCTTCTCAAGTTATTGGCCCTTGAATTTTACGAAAATTACAAATTTTTTGTCGATTGCCCCTTAATTTTTGTTTTGTGTCCCAATTTTGTATTATTTTTGCTATTTTTGTGCAGAAGATTATTTATATACAGTGGACCCCCGGTAATCCGACAAACATTTTGCAGGGCAGTGTCGGACTATCGAATTCGTCGGATTATAGAGTACTGCCTAAGACCCTATAATCCGGATTTTTTTACAAAAGATTACCTTGTAATCCGACAAATTACAGATTCAATGATAAGATTATTTACATTTTATATATACATGTATACTTATATGTACTCTGAAGTACAAATTCAAATTCCAACTAAGCAATCAGAATCAAAACAATACCCTACGCGTAAAGCACAATAGTGATGATGCGTACAAGTTGTAACTTGTTCAATCATGCATTAGAATACAAAATATGTATTCAATAATAAATAATAGATCATGTTGGATTACAGGGGCCGGATTACCGGGGGTCCACTGTAGTACAATAACGTACAACATCTCCCTCTCGTACCTGGCAAATTCCCAGCTTTAGCCAGGGTCTGCCTTACATGTTGTGAATAGTTTTGGCTATTTGTTTTTACGACCGGCCGCCTGCCTGACATCAACCCTCTTTTTTTTTGGGAATCAACATTAATCAGTGATATCTAAATATTCTTAGAAAGTACATATGATTCGGAAAAATCACATTGGTT